TCTTGCATTGAGTATATCAGGAAATAGGCTCAAGTGTGCATGAATTCTAAGCACTTGAAAGGAAACTAGGAGTCTAGAACTACCTAGTTCTTTGTTCAGTACTAAAAAAATGGTTTGATAAAACATTCATATCCAAAGGAAGTACAGTTGACCTTTGAATAACATGGGTTAGAAATGCATAGCTCCATGTATATGCAGATTTTTTACAATAAATATACTGGAAAGTAATGTGAATGTATTTTCTTTACAATTTTCTTAACATTTTCCTTTCTCTAGCTTATGTTAAGACTATGGTATATGTATTAACATACAATACACAAAATAATGGTGTGAGGAGTAAGCACCCCACCCCCCATGTTTTCTAACAGTACATTAAAAAGAATAATTTTCATTTATCGTTTTTTAATTTGCTATAAAGCATGTGTGCTCACTAGAGAGAGAGAGAGAGAGAGAGAGAGAGTGAGAGAGAGAGAGAAAGCAAGTCATCAGGTGCAAGACTTGAACTCTGGTAAGCCATGTGGGAGTCCAATGTCTTAACCATTATGCCACCTGTTGGGTCCACATTTTTTTTAAAGGAAGGATTTCTTTAAGAATTATTTAATTTTATTTAATATATATTTTTAAAATTTGCTATGGGGCTTGTGTGCTCACCAGAGAGAAAAAGCTGCTAGGTCTGGAACTCGAACTGTGATCAGCCATGTCTAAGTCCAGTGCCTTAACCACCACACATCCTATTGGCCCCAGCAACTATATTTTTAAGGTGTTACCTTTTGGATTAGTAATGTCTAGAGATATTCTATTGTATTTAGTATTATATGTTTACTTCATAAAGTTTTAAATAGTCTAGAGTATTTTTCAGTATTTTTTTGATTAAATCCCTTATGCTTTTTGTTGAAATTCACTTGTTTTCTTTAAAATAAAAGAATGTGATGGTGTGTGTGCAAGCACATAAGGAGAAAAAAATATATAGAGAGAAAGAAGCACTAGAGCGCCATCACAACACAATCCTCTTCTTTCGATCCTCCATCCTACCAGGATCCTAGACAAATACACATGTACCCAGTGTGTTTCCAGGCTGACTGGCCCAGGGACTTGAACATGTGTTTTCCAGTTCCATAGGACAGTACACTACCAACTGTGTCATGAAAGCTGGACCTCAATTTCATTTTAAAGTATTTTATTAATGGGACTAATAAAGAGGTAGTAAGATGTCCAGCCAATATCCAGAAAGAAAAAATGATTACCCTTCTCTTAAGGATTTGCATGAAAGCCAGTTATAGCAAGCAAGCTACAAAACCTATAGTTCAGCTGTGTCATCAATGGCAAATGTAATATGTGTAAGTTTACATTCAGCACTTTTATAGCTAATATATTTTGTTCTCTTAGACTTGTAATATGCATGTATGGGTGAAATTTTTCCCATTTTCTTTGTTTGTTTGTTTATTTTTTTGAGAGATTTTTGCTATAGGGCGCATGCACTTGTTGGACAGAGACAGAGACAGAGAGATAGAAAGTAAGAAATCACTCTCCCCAGGGGGGGTGGCCACACCACAAACTCTTCTACTCCATTCTCTTCTTGGGATCTTGATCACACACGCACAGGTGCCCGGCATAAGTTTTAAGCCACTGGATCCAGGACTCAAACCATGGTCAAGTACATGAGAGTCCAATGATGTAACCATTATGCCATCTGCTTGTCCCCCAATTTTTTTATTAAAGAATTATTTATTTAACTTTATTTATTCATTCATTTATCTTAATTTGACCAGAGAAAGACAGACAAACAGAGAGAAGGAAAGTGAGAAAGCAAGCCACCAGGTCCAGGACTTGAACCATGGTCAGCCATGTGGGAGTATCCAGCACCTTAACCACCACACCACCTGCTGGCCCCAAATTTTTTTCATTTTCTAACAGAATAGTTACTAGCCTAGGAATAGATGCTCTATTAAACCTTTCAATTATTCAAAATTACTTAAGTAAAAGAAACAAGAACATTAAGTTGCATAATTTCTTCAACTATGCACATTTACATTGGTATTTATGTTAAGACAACAAAAATAGTACATACTCAACGGGAAAAAGTTTGATGTGAATGTCTCCCATGCTTGTGTGGATAATAGCACTATCTGAAACTCGTTTAGGTCCTTCAGCTTGAGTAGCTGCCATGACTTCTTCTTTAGAAGGTTTCTCATTAAAAACATCTCGGTCAGAATCTGCACTTTTCGTATCTTCTGGTTCTCGTTTGGTAAACTCAAGGAGGAAAATAAAAAGTGAATGAACGAATTAAGTTTTCATCTGAAAATTTATGAGCAGGATAACCTAATTTTTAAAAATTTTTATTTAATTTTATTATTATTTTTAAAATTTGCTACAAGGTGCATGTGCTCACCAGAGATAGAGACAGAAAGCGAGAGAGAGAGAGAGAAAGTGAGAAAGTAAGCTGCCACGTCTGGAACTTGAACCATGGTTGCTCATGTGGGAGTCCATTGCCTTAACCACCATGCCACCTGCTGGTTCCAGGAAAATTTAATTTCTAATGATGTATTTGAGGAAAGTAAATTCACATGAAAATATACCTTTATTTCAAGAATCACTTCCCAATACAGCATGAGTATGGCAGTTATTTATAAATTTGTCTCCAATGAAAATAATTCATTCAATATAATGACAATGTATGATTTTAAATGGAATTTAATATCTACTGAGTAGAGACTGTCTAAGGTTCACATTTAACCAGGTAATAATTTCATTTGTGATAGTTTTCTATTTCTATTTTCTAGTATGTTCTAACTTACAACCTGTTATTCACTTCACTGTTTAGATGCCTTGGTTTGAATTCTAATTCTACTATTTTTTTTGGAGAGGTTTTTGCTATAGGGCGTGTGCACTTACCAGAAAGACAGAGACAGAAAGTGAGAAATCACCCCCAAGGAGGGATGGCCATGCCACAATCCCTTCTTATCCAGTTTTCTCTCAGGATCTTGGGCATGAATGCACATGTGCCCAGAGTGAGTTTAAGCCACTGGGTCTGGGACTCAAATCATGGTCTACAACATGGGAATCCAGTGACATAGCCATCACGCCCTCTGCTGGTCGCAGTAAAAATTTCTTTGAAAAAAAATAAAAAAGAAAGAAATCTCAGGATCCTGAGGGTATAGATAGAGTTGACAGTAACTTTTCAGTTATTAAAACTATGGACTGGGGCCAGCAGGTGGCATAGTGGTTAAGGCGCTTGACTCCCAATATGGCCAACCACGATTTCAGTCCTAGATCTGACAGCTTGAAAATCATTCCAGGCACTTGTGCATGTGTGACCAAAGTACCAAGAGAAGACTATAGGAGAAGGGTTTGCAGCGTGGCCATCTCTTCTATAGGTGATTTCTCACTTTTTCTCTGTTTCTCTCTGTGTCTACAGTAAGCACACGTACCCTATAGCAAAAATCTCTCTTAAAATAAAAATAGGAAAAAAGTCTCAGAATACTGAGGGTATAGGGAGAGTTGAGAATAACTTTTCAGTTATTGAAACTATGGACTGGGACCAATAGGTGGCGTAGTGGTTAAGGTAATGGATTCCCACATGGCCAACTATGATTCAAGTACCAGACCCAGCAACTTGAAAATCATTCCAGGTGCATGATCATTCATGATCAAAATCCCGAGAGCACAATGAAGAAGGGATTGCAGCATGCCCATCCCCTCTGGAGGGTGATTTCTCACTTTCCCTCTCTCTGTGTCTGTCTGCCTGTCTGACTGTGGGGCATGCTCACGCCCATGGCAAAAACCTTTTAAAAAAGTAAGGTAAAAATAAAACTGTAGACTTTTTTTTTTTCTTTTTTTAGAGAGGTTTTTGTTACAGGGCGTGTATGCTCACTAGAAAGACAGAGACAGAGAGACAGAAAGTGAGAAGTCATCCCCCAGTGGGGATGGCCACGTCACAATCCCTTCTCCTCCATTCTCCTCTTGAGATCTTGGGCATGCATGCACACGTGCCTGGCATGAGTTTAAGCCACCGGGTCCGGGACTCAAACTGTAGTCTACTACATGGGAGTTCGGCAACATAGCCATTATGCTAACTACTGGTCCCTCTCTTTCTTGCTCTCTCGCTCACTGGAAGAAACAAATTTAAAAACTTTTATACATCTAATGAGACTAAAAGAAAACTCATAACCATGTTAGCCGTAAAAGGAAGTACTATTGAGTGACTTTTTGTTGTTTCTCTGTTTTCTCAGTTTATAACAAATGTATATGCTTTAATCAATATATTAGGTGGTTGGGAAAGTTATGAAGTATTTTTCTAGGCAAAAATGTGTCGTGACTTTCCCAAAGACCCAATAAAAGTAAACTTTGAGGGAGAAAGAGAATCTGGACCGTTAAAAGTTTTTTTTAATAAAGTGAATAGAAAAACAGTGTATGTGCTTTTTAGTATATATCAAGAATTGTTTATGTTTAATTTTTACTTTATAACTTTTAAATGACATGCAAAATCAACAAATTATTTTTCTTTAATATCTATTAATAAATTTTTAGTAATGACTTTGAAAGTTTTAAGTGAAACATTCATTTTAAAAGAATTTTCACAGTTTAGGTTGATTTAAGGGAAATTGCTATATTATGCATTTGTCAAAGTAACCTTAACAGCGTCACAACTACTTACATGTCAGATAAATGAATAAGTAAACTATAATAGTTCAGCCACTTCACTAAACCTTGTGGATGTAGTAGTGAAGATGACATATTTTCCTATATTTATAGATTTTATATTATCTTGAGAAGAGGACAGTGTCAGACAGAAAGAGGAAGAAGTTACTGATTTTCAGACAAGAAATATGATATACAATATATGGGGAATTACAGGAGGAGCACAAGCAGGTACACTTAACTCAGACTTGACATTAAGAGAGTGCCAGGGACCAGCACATGGTGTAATGGTTACATCACTTAACCGGCCCGAATCTAATCTTAACATATGAAGTCCTTTCATTTCTCCAGAGGAGGGAAAAATAATTCCTCATGTATAAATTCTAAGGTAGCATCATCACAGTGAAGTCTAACAGCAAAAAAGGAAAGGCATTCAGAGAAGAAAACTGTGCAGGTTTGGATAAGATAAATTATGTTAAGAAATATCAGCTAAAAAATAATAAAAACAGTAAAGAGAATATTTAAAACCCCATAATGATGAAAATTATTTTGGATGCAATTATGACCACAGCTATTAACTTCTGTAACCTTTGATAATACATATAGTTATAGAAGCCAGGTTGAAAAATTTTCAAAACCAGGAAAACAGAAATGCTAAAAATCAATTCCTAGTTCAAAATTCTATAATATTAATGTCATAAGATAGTATTCTGATTGTTTAGATAGTCTGCTATTACTGCCAACATTCTCTTCACTTGAAGGCACAAGCCAAGAAAATAAGAATCTCATCCAAACTGATAGAACATTAAGGCGTATCTCCTTGTACCTCCACATACCATATAGAATCTATTCTTTTTGAAAGACGTACAGACTATTGTTGGATCAGCTTGAATATTCTGTAGAACAGGATTTTCAGAAGCCTTCATCTCTATAGTAGTTGCAGCACGATGCTTTTTAGCTATTCCCTGGAACAAAGCCAGTTGCATCACTCTAATATTTTCTTGCTTGCCTAGAATCCGTACACACCTGGAAAATACAACAGTGTTTTATACAATAATATCACCAGAACTGACTTCAATCATGGTAACTTTACAGATGAAATCTAGGAATCAACTCTCTTTCATGTGCAAAATAAACAGCAAAAAGTTTATTCATGTATTTCTCTATCCTAAAGGAGGCATTTTAAATTGGCAGGCAGCTATAATTTTCAGGATAAAGAAATAAATCATTGGACTGAAAAGCCACAGATTGGGAGAAAATGTCTGCAGACATATCTACTAAAAGATTGTTATCTAAAAAATACAAAGAACTCTTAAAATTCAACAATAGGAGGCTGGCAGGTGGTGTGGTGGTTGAGTGCTTGACTCCCACCTGGCCAACCATGGTTGGAGTCCTGAACATGGCGGCTTGCTTTCTCACTTTTCCTCTCTCTCTCTCTCTTTCTCTCACTCTGTCCCTCTCTGGCCAAATTAAAATACATAAACAAATAAATAGAGTTAAATAAAATAATTCCTTAAAAAATTTAACAGTCTAACACAACTCAATTAAAAAATGGGTTAAAAAAGAAATGGGTGAGGGACCAGCAGTTAGTGTAATGGCTATGTTGCTAAACTCCCATGTAGCCGACCGTAGTTCAAATCCCGGACCTGGTGGTTTAAACTCAAGCCGGCACGTGTGCATGCCTGCCCAAGATCCCAAGAGGAGAATGGAGAAGGGACTGCAGCATGGCCATCCCCCCTGGGGGGGTGATTTCTTGCTTTCTATCTCTCTGTCTCTCTCTGTCTTTCTGGCAAGCACATGCACCCTATTGTCAAAGATATAAAGATGGCAAGGACATATCATGTATCCGCAAATGCGAACTAAAACAAGATACTACTACACACCTATTCGAATAGCCAAATCAGGAACACTGGCAATACCAAATATTGAGGATGTGGACCAGCAGGAACTCTCATTCATTGCTGGTTGGAATGAATAAGGGTAAGTCACTTTGGAAGTCAGTTAGATGGTTTCTTACAAAATGCAATATACTGTTACAATATGATCTAACAACTGTACTCCTTGATATTTAAACCAAAGGATTTGAAAATTTATGTCCATACAAAAATCTATATGTGGATGTTATAGCAGTTCTATTCATAATTGCCAAAACTTGGAAGCAACTAAGATTTCCTTCAGTAAAGAATGAATAAACTGATACATTGAGTCCATAGAGTATTATTCATTGCTAAACAAAAGCAGTTATCAAGCCATGAAAAGACATGGAAGAGGGAACCAGCAGCTAGCGTAATGGCTATGTCGCTGGACTCCCACGTAGTCGATCGTGGTTCGCGTCCTGGACCCGGTGGCTTAAAACTCACGCTGGGCGCGTGTGCGTGCGTGCCCAAGATCCTGAGAGGAGAATGGAGGAGAAGGGATTGCGGCGTGACCATCCCCCCTGGGGGGTGATTTCTCGCTTTCTGTCTCTATGTCTCTCTCTGTCTGTCTGGCGAGCGCACGCGCCCTATAGCAAAAATCTCTCCAAAAAAAAAAAAAAAAAAAAAGACATGGAAGAACCTTAAATGCATATTAGTAACAGAAAAAAGGTAATGTGAAAAGACTATAAGCTGTATGATTCCAACTACATAACATTCTGGAAAAGAGTAGGGAATAATAATAGTTGGAATATAGAGGCTTTATAGGGCAGTAAAACTATTGTGTATGATACTATAATGTGGATAGAAGTCATCATACATTTGTCCAAACCTATAGAATGTACACCACGTAAGATACAACAACATTATACGTTTGTCCAAACCTACAGAATGTAAGCAAGAATGAACTCCTATGTAAACTATGGACTTTGAGTGAAAATGAGATGTTAAAAAGTAGGTTTGGGACCAGTGGGTGGTGTGGTGGTTGATGAACTGGACATTCCCACATGGCTGACCATGGTTTGGATCCTGGATCTGGTGGCTTGCTTTCTCACTACAACCACCCCTCCCCACCTGCCCCCCCCCCCATGTGTCTCTCTCTGGTCAAAGTAAAAGAAGTGAATGAATAAATAAAATTGAATAAATAATTATTTTTAAAAAATAATTAAAAAGTAGGTTTACCTATTGTAATAAATGTACCAATATGATGGGGGATATTGATAATGCGGAAGGCTATACGTGTGGGCATAGTCTATATGGGAAATCTCTGTACTTTCAGTTTTACTATGTACCTAAAATTGTCCTAAAAAGTATAGTCTGTTACAAAAAAACAAAAGACAAAAAACAAAAAAACAAAAAAACACACAAAAAATACATACACACAATCATTCATTTATACAATTTTAACCTATTCCTATTATTTTAATCTTTCTTCAAACCTTCAAAGATTATATTGCCAAGAACTTCAATATAAGTATGTTTGTATGTGGGAATGGACAGCATAAAATTTTTTTTCTCCTTAAAATATTCTTTTAAGTTCTTTTCACTTACATTCAGTGATAGAGTATCTGATTGTAGCTATTTTGTACTGAGACCAAATGGACTGTTTGCACAAAAGGCTTATTGTGGTTTCATGCATTTTAACTTCTGATTTTATGTCTAGCAGGATGTAATGCTGAATTCTGTGGTTTAAATATTTGGCAACATTTAACATGAACCAGGCTAATTTAAATCAATAAGCAAAAGACAGACTGAAACTTGTTGAGGGGAAAAAAACCTTGAAACTATGCATATCTTCTTTCCATTTCTTTTACAAACATGAGTGGAAACTTTTTACATAAAATTATAAACAACTAAAAGACCACAGAAAAAACCCAGTCAAAACATTTGGTTAAGTTTAGACATTTGGGATCATTCCACTTGTCTTGGAACAAACAAAACTCCCATTGTTTTCCTGATGAAGGAAATGGTCCCCCATAAATTCATTAAAAAAAAACAAAAACACATCATATTAAAGCTTACCTATTTGTCTCTACATTTATAACTTTAATGCCCAGCATTGTTCCATACAGCACGAAGTGTCCAGTTTCATCAAAAACTATATTAATTAACCTTACAGCATCCACTTTCTCTAACTCGCGTTCTACAGCCATTCGTCGGCCAAATTCCATGTCTGGTAGCTGTTGCCTCATCTGCTGCAGTTCAGTAAACATCTGGAAAGAAACCATTTATTTATAAAAAACATATATATGAGGGGATTTCTAAAAGTTTTAGGAAAATGGAATTAAAAAATAAGCTTACTTTGGTGCAAAAATTTTTGAAATCCATGCAGTTATTTTTAAATATGCATTTTCCAGGAAGTTTTTGAAGACAACTTGTATGTGTGTGTATATATATGTGTCTATACACACACACACACACACGCACATGTATAATTATATGGAAAAATACATTGCACATATATATATATAATTAAACATAAAATAAAGGTATGAGAATTTAAATAGAAGCAAAATACACATTAAGAGACCCTAATGGTTTGTATACTTATACATAAGAGGGATTCTGAATACTATAAGCAGGAAATAAAAAATACTGTTAGTAAATTCAATCATTAAAAAAATGCGTATAACAGTAAACGGTAATGAGCTCTTGTAACTTTTTTAAAAAAGAATTATTTTATTTAACCATTCATTCACTCTTAATTTGACCAGAGAGAGAGACACAGAGAGAGAAAAAGTGAGAAAGCAAGCCACCAGGTCCAGAACTCATTCGAGGCTGAACGATGGTCAGCCGTGTGGGAGTGTCCAGTGCCTTAACCACCACACCACCTGCCAGTCCCAAAACAACAATGTCTTTTACCCTTTAAAAACCACAAACTGGGACCAGCAGTTAGTGTAATGGCTATGTTGCTGAACTCCCACGTAGTCGATCACGGTTCAAGTCCCAGATCTGGTGGCTTAAACTCACACCAGGCGCATGTGCATGCATGCCCAGGATCCCGAGAGGAGAATGCAGGAGAAGGGATGGCGGTGTGGCCATCCCCCCATGGGGTGATTTCTCGCTTTCTGTCTCTCTGTCTCTCTCTGTCTTTCTGGCACCCTTAAAAAAAAAAACTATAAAAAAAAAAAAAAAAAAAAAAAAAAAAAACACAAACTGGAACCAGCAGATAGCATAATGGTTACACCACTGGACTCTCACATAATCAACCATGGTTTGAGTCCCGGACCCAGTGGCTTGAAAGTCACCAGGCACATATGCGTGTGTGCCCCAAATCCTGAGAGAATAGAGAAGACCGCAGTATGACCATCTGTCCTGGGGGGAGGGGGGGAATTTCTCTCTTTTTATCTCTTTCTGTCTCTCCAGAGAGCACATACCCCCTATAGCAAAAAAAAAAAACTCTTAAAAAAAAGCCAGAAAATAGCACTTTACAATGAAATATAATAGAAGCCACCAATTTTCTAGTACATTAAATAGAGAAACCAGTGAAATTCATTTTAATATTTTAAACAATAGAATCAATACAGCTGAAATACTATAATTTCAACATTAGTAATTTTTAAAAAATCAATATTACCTACATTTATAAAACTTAAGTCTTTGAAATCTTGTATTTTATACTTCCGGCACATTTTGATTTAGACAAGCCATAGATCAAGTGCTCTATAGCTATACGTGAGAAACGGCAAGCAGCCACAGATCATAAGATCCTTGTGCAAGAAGTATTTGTTTGACATATAACAAGCTCTGAATTTTTGTTAATGAATGAACTCTTATCTTTCTAATTTATAACAATTTAATGATAATTTAGAAAATATATCAAGTTATTTAGATATGGGATAATTAGATTATCATTAGGTAAAAGTGATTTAGAAAAAATAAATATTTTTTAGTTTGGAAATTTGGTTTACTATTGATATTTTATACACAATTTTCAAGATAGGGGTCACATCTCAATTACTCTGTATTAGCACACTACAACGCCTTTCAGAATATATGTATGAGGGTCTTTACATTCACTTGTGCAGATAGCCCAGGCATCAAAAAGTAGAATTTAAAAGTAGTCCCTCTCCATTGCAGAGGAAAATAAGCTAGACTATGTCCCACCTGCTTCTATCCTTGTTTCATGTTTATGTTGAAAGAAAATCTCCAGTTTTTCTAGATATAAAAGAACAATACACAAAACTAAAAATCACAATCCTTTCTCTTCCATTCTCCTCTCAGGATTTTGGGCACTCATGCCCACACACCTGGAGTGATTTTCAAGCTGCCTGGTCCGGGACTTGAACCACGGTCGACTATGTGGAAGTCCAGTGATGTAACCAGTACGCCATCTGTTAGTCCCTAAATTACAAGTACTACCTAGTTAACAGCTAACATTAAAGAAGTAATATTACCAACAAAGGTTTCTCCTTTAAAGCAGAGTAGTAAGCTATCTTCCAACAAGAAAATTTGTCATGAGGATGATTTGGTTAGCAAAACCAACAAGCTATCTTCCAGTAAGAAAAATCTGTTATGAGGATGTTTTGGTTAGCATCTCTCTTTATTTATATTACTTCAGGCAGACAACACCAAACTCATTACCACTTGTCACCAAATCAAGAGTGCCATTAATAAGAGCAGACAAAAATTTAGAAGAGTTTAATGCGAGTAATTGAATGTAAACTGGTCACTGACAAAGAGCATAGAACTGACACTGTCATATAATAAACACTATTGCTATAAAAGTTCAACTCTCAAAGGATTCAAAATACCATTAGTAGTCAGAGAACCATCTGAGGGAAACAGCTGATAAGTGGAAAACACTTAACTTTGCATAGATAAAAACTTATTCTATAACCATATGACCTAAGAAATTATTGGTAGCAGTCTAACAAGGGATGGGTAAAGTCAGTCTTTCAACAGATACTTGACTCTGTGACAAATGCTATCTTTGTGTTGGAGATACAGCACAATCATGAGCTGAAACGGATCACATAGAGCTTTGTCTACTAGAGGTGTTACACATTAACCAGATAATACAATCGTACAAAATGCCCTAAATGGAAATAAACAGTTACACTAAAAAAAAGTTACACTAGAAATAGTGGATTAAAAAAGCTATCTTAGACTGGATCAACATTGAAAACTCAGAGGAAGTGGCCCTTCAATTGAAACTTGAAAGATCAGTTCAATTGGTAATGGAGGATGTAACGGAGGAGGAAGGTTGTACTCCAGGCTGAGGGAACAAAATATACTAGGGCCCAATGGTGGGAGACATGCTCAAGAAATTGAAAGTATGCCCAAATCTCTAGAGCAACACAGAGAGAAAGGTGATTTGCAGTTGCTGAATTGGTAGGAAGGGGCCAATAGCAGGGTAGGTCATTTTAGTTTTGATGCTAAGGACAAAAGAAAACACTAAAAGTTCTAGGAATAGAATTACATGAGCAGTTATATACCTTTAAAAGATTGCTCTGGGTGGAATCTCTGGATATTATAATCTCTGGATCTTATAAGGAAGCCAGAATAAATACAGGCATAGAGAGCTGAATAGGTCAGGAAAAGATCATGAACAAAGGTAGTGACAGCTGGGCTAAAAGAAATAGGCGGATTTAAAGTATATATATATATTTATTTATTTTAATTTTTGCTATAAGGCACATGCACTCACCAGAGAGAGACAAGAGAGAAAGTGAGAGAAGGAAAGCAAGAAATCACTCCCCAGAGGGGATAGCTATGCCTTCCCTTCTCTCAGCATTTTGGGCACCCATACACCCAGCATATTTTCCAAGCTGCCAGGTCCAGGACTGGAACCGTGCACTTGGCCATGTGGGAGCCAGCCACTTTAACTACCACACCATTTGGCTGGCCTGGTTTTAAAGTATATTTAGAAAGGAAAATTGACAGGACTCATGATGAATTAAATAGAGGTATAAGAAAAAAGTTAAGGATGATTCTTAGATTTCTGCTCTGTGCAAATGGATGGATATTGGTGCCACTGATAAAGGTAAAAGAAAAAAAGGACATTTGTGCAAGGTAGAAAGATGGAGAAATAAATTTGTAAGCAGTTAAATGGACAGGAGCAAACAAAGTGAGAAGAGAAGGGGGCCTAGAATGAGTTTTCATCTTATAAATAAAATTACAGTAAAAAACAAAACAAAACAAAACAAACAAACAAAAAATCCCAAAACCAGGCACATAAATAGGAGGATAACTGGCTTGGAAAATATAATATTGTAAACCTAGGGAAGAGAGTTTTGGAGAGCAACAATACAAGACAAAAAACAAATATCTTTAAAGCACTGAGAAAATTACTGTCAATCTAAATGTCTATAACAAAACAAATAAATAATTCCCAAAACAATACAAGATAAAAACATTTTTAGAAAAGTAAAATCTGACTAAACTTAAATTGTACTTACACTTAATGATTCATCAAAGACTCTCATGAGTTTTCCAGTCAGAAACCTAAAAATTCTAACTTTTCTATCAGAACCAATCGTAGCTATTTTCTTCCCATCAGGTGAAAAACACATGCTGGTTGGATAAGCTTTATATTTGGCAAATTCATATAAATCTGTGTCAGTTTTATATTCCCAGTTTACATTCTTAGGAAATTTATATTCATGAGGAGGACCAGTCCAGTACTCAATCATTCCAGATTTGTCAGAAGATACTATTGCTTTGTAAACCGGGTTTAGCCGTATCTGAGTGAGAGGGGATGAATGGAGTTTGTCAAAAATATGAAGTGGCTGGTTATCTCCTCGACCATCGTAAATGAAAATTTTTCCTGTACTCTTCTCAGAAGCAGCAACTGAAGATATGGCATCCCCTGGGCAATAGATCCACTCACATTGTCCAGGAAAATAACTAAAATAATAAGGAATTGGGGGGTAAGAAAAGGTCAGTACAAGCAAGCATCGACTCCTCCCCTACCACCAAAAAAATGTACTGGGTAACAATGACTTAGTTTTGGATTCTTTGCTCAAAAGCAGCAGAAATACAGAATGGGGACCTCATCACTGTAATGAATAACTTCTGAAGGCCTATAAACTTCAAGAAGAGAATTGCATAGAGCAGCCCATTTACTTCTCCTGATAAGGAAACCTAATCAGATCTGGACCATTAAGTTACTCCGTAGCATTGCTTTTTGAGTTTCTGTACAACAGTCTATGGATAACTTACTTTTAAACAGTATAGCATGTAAAAGCCCACTATAAATCCATTTTTAAAAAATATTTAAAATGAATGTATTTGTCACTATGCTAAAAAAAAAAAAGCCAAAAATATACTATCCTATCACTCTCACTATTAACTCACTCTTAATATTAAAACTATTTAGCTTTGGAACCAGCAGTTAGCGTAATGGCTATGTGGCTGGACTCCCACGTAGTCGACCGCGATTTGCGTCCCAGACCCAGTGGCTTAAAACTCATGCCAGGCATGTGTGCATGCGTGCCCAAGATCCCGAGACGAGAATGGAGGAGAAGGGATTGCAGCGTGGCCATCCCCCCTGGGGGGTGATTTCTTGCTTTCTGTCTCTCTGTCTCTCTCTGTCTGGCGAGTGGATGTGCCCTATAGCAAAAAAAAAAAAAAAAAAAACACAAAAACTATCAAGCTTTGAGCATGCCATCTGATGCTGGGACAGAGCCAGCTGTGATGGCCTAGTGATTAAGGTGTTGGTCTCCCACATGGCTGATACAGTTTGCATCCCAGACCCAGCGACCTAAAACTCACGCTGGGCATGTGTGTGTGCCCAAAATCCTGAGAGGAGAACGAATTTCTCGCTTTCTCTCTCTCTGTCTCTCTGGCAAGCCCATGTGCATCATAGCAAGCAAGTAAGCAAGCAAACAAATAACTCTATAAAACAAACAAAAAACCTGGGAAAGGGCCAGCAGGTAGCACGGTGGTTAAGGCACTCCCACATGGCCAATTCTATAGTTCGGGTGCCAGACCTGGTGGCTTCAAAATCATACCAGGTACCTGTGTATGCATGCCCAAAATGCTAAGAGGAGAATGGAGGAGAAAAGATTATGGTGTGGCCTTCCCCCCTGGGAGGTGATCTCTCACATTCTCTCACTTGCTGCTTTTCTCTGGTGAGCATGTACAACCTCTGATAAAACTCTTAAACTGCACCCCCCCCCAAAAAAAAAATAAAAAACAATTGGGACAATTTTAATCAATATACCAAACTTACTCAAAAAGTGTTACTTCCTTCAAAGCGGTCACGCTAAGTGTTATACTATGATTTCAACCACAATGCTGATGCTCAAAATCTCTTTGAAGGAAATTTGAAAATCTGGAGTTACTTAATTTATGAAGCACTAAAATAAATCAATTTCATTATTTATGGTTAGTACTTATTTTTGACCACATAGAATCAAAGTAACTTAATCACCTGCCTTATTCCACAATTTTGTTTCCTGAAACATTAGTTTGTTTGTTTGTTTATTTTAGAGAGAGATTTTTGCTATAGGGCATGTGTGCTTTCCAGAGAGATAAACAGGGAGACAGAATCACCCTCCGGGGGATGGCCACATTGCAATCCCTTCTTTTACATGTTCCTCTTGGAATCTTGGGCATGCACACACATGCACCCAGAATGAGTTTTAAGCCAGTGGATTCAGGACTTGAAGAGCAGTCAACTATGTAGGAGTCCAGCAATGTAACCATTATGTCATCTGCTGGTCCTGACATTAGGTTGTTTTTAAAAATCACGTTCATTCACAAATACTGAATATTTGTCATTTGAGGACACTTGAAAGAGTTTAGATATAGAAAGAAATTCTTAAAGAAGAGTACTGGACATCATAATAAGAGATCACTGTATCTACTTTTCAAAACAAAACTCAGGTACACATTTTTTTAATGGCATGGTGATATACTCTATTAAAAAAAAAACTTTTGAAATAGATGGTTAATTTTGCTTTAAGAATTATTTAACTAAGTAAAAAAATATAAATTTTAAAAAATACTCACCCAAGCTTCAACATATTGATCATGTCAAAGTTCACTACATCAAACACCTTCATTGCTTTATCATCACCCACAGAACAGAACAATGCTCCCTCAGAGCTAACTGCAATACTCTCAATAATTCCTATTTAAATAAATCAAATCAAAACATCGTAGTAAATACTAGTGAAATGTGCATGATTTAACAACAACAGAAACCACACGTATTTTAAAAACAACTTTAGTGCAGTTTAAAAGAGAAATACACAAACACACAGTCAATTCTTACCTAGGTGACTACGAAAATGTTTAACAAATTCAATTCCTTCTTCTACCTTTTTCCAGAACTTAACATGTCCATCATGACTGGCAGTAATAATAAAATCTGTCCTGTATGTATAAAAATTTAAAAGTTAATTTATAAAACACATCTATGAGGGACCAGCAGTTAGCGTAATGGCTATGTCACTGAACTCCAGTCAACCGGACCGCAGTTCGAGTCCTGGACCCAGTGGCTTAAACTCATGCCAAGCGCATGTGCGTGCACGCCCAAGATCCTGAGAGGAGAATGGAGGAGAAGGGATTGCAGCATGGCCATTTGAGGTGGGGGTGATTTCTCGCTTTCTGTCTCTCTGTCTCTCTCTGTCTGTCTGGCAAGCGCACGTGCCCTATAGCAAAAACCTCTCAAAAAAAAAAAAATGTAAAAGAAATTCTTTTATGTAGACCACTATATTAAGATACAAAAACATTGAGAATTTTGAGATCCTTGATATCAAAACAGTTGCAGCTGTACTAATTTTTTCAAAAATCATTTTATTCAATTTTATTTATTGTTATTATTATTATTTAATTAATTTGACCAGAGAAAGAGAAAGTGAGAAAGCAAGCCAAGCCGCTAGGTCCAGGATTGGAACAGCAGTCGGCTTTGTGGGAATCCAGAACCTTAGCCACCATACCACCTGCCAGCCCACTACTGTACTAATTTTAATGTGGAGTCAGGAAGTTAGGATTAGAATTCAACTAGGATTTGACCTTAAAAAGAAAAAAAAGACTCAGTAGAAATCACTTGAGTTTGGGATTACTTATTGCTAAAATCACCCTACTGGGAGTCCTTTCATGGAAAAAAAGGCATTGTTTTTTTAGTAGTTAAGTCCCAACATACCAATTTCATATATACCAAAATTCAATGTTTGTTTTCTTTCTTTCCAAGGTATATCTGTTAAGTATCAAGAAGGTTTCAGGGAACAGCCGGTGACACGGTGGTTAAGTCTCTGGACTCCCACATGGTTGATCACAGTTTGAGTCCTGGACCTGGCAGCTTACTTTCTCACTTTCCCTTTCTCTCTATCGCTCTCTGGTCAAATTAAAAATAATAAGTAAAATAAAATAAATGATTCTTTAATTAAAAAAAGGTTTGTACCGACAATCTCCTCTGTAAGGTATATAAAAATAGAAATCGTTTATTGTCAGGCAGTTTACACATATACCTTAGTTAATCTTTACAGCAACTCCATTAAGTGGGTATTTTTATCATCATTTTACAAATCAGGAAATAGTTTTATGTATTTATTTAAAATGTTTACTTTCTTCATGTAAGAGGAAGACAGGCACCTTTACTGGGTCTCTGCACATTGTGACTCTGTCTCGAACCCTGCAGTCAGCTAGCCATAAGCATGCCTGGCCTACTGTGGTAAACCGGGGATGTGAACTGGAGCCTTTCCACATAGCTTCTAGAATTGCACCTGACTAGGCCAGGAAATAGGTTTTTGTTTTTAAAGAATAATTTTATTTTATATTTCAACTTTTTACTTAATACTATTATTATTTTCCAATTTGACCAGAGTGAGATGGGGTGGGGGTGGGGGTGGGGTGAGAAAGTAAGCCACCAACCAGGTCCAGGATTTGAACCATGATCAGCCATGTGGGAATCAAGCGCTTTTAACCATCATGTCACCTGTTGGCCCCAGGAAATATTTTTAAACTGTCAATTTACTTGTCCCAGGCCCATAGCTAGAGGATGGCTTTCAGATTTACCTAACTGCAGAACCTATCTTTCTGTTACAATCTATTGTCTTGGGTTAAAAACAAAACAAAACAAAACTTAAGGAGAAAGTAAAAGCAATGCTAGCACCTATATGCTGCTTTATACAGTGACAACCTTAGAGACTAGAAAAGGTGCTAATCAGAAATATCCTATATAAGAGAAAGGACCAGCAGTTAGCGTAATGGCTATATCGCTGAACTCCCACGTAGTCGACTGTGGTTCGCGTCCCGGACCTGGTGGCTTAAACTCACGCTGGGCACGTGTGCGTGCGTGCCCAAGATCCCGAGAGGAGAATGGAGGAGAAGGAATTGCAGCGTGGCCATGCCCCATGGGGGGGTGATTTCTCGCTTTCTGTCTCTCTGTCTGGCGAGTGCACGCGCCCTATAACAAAAACCTCTCCAAAAAAAAAAAAATATCCTATATAAGAAATTTAATTTTATTTAGATTAATATCTGAAATATAATGTTTTCACGAGATCAAGAATAGCGGCTAGCCGGTGGTGTGGTTGAGGCGAAAGGATCCCACATGGTCAACTGTATGGTTCAAGTCCTGGACCTAGTGGGAAAAACACACCAGGAGCACATGCACAACCAGCCAAAATCCCAAATGGAGATGGAAAAGGGATTGCAGCACAGATGTCTCCCACCAGAAGTATTTTCTCACTTTCCTTCCCTCTGGTGAGTACATGCACCTTCTAGCAAAAGAAAAAAAAAAAAAAAAAGAGGGGCCACCAGGTAACAGCCAGCAGGTAGCATGGTGGCTAAGGGCACTGGACTCCCACATGGCCTACTGCAGTTTGAGCCCTGAACCTGGCAGCTTGCTTTCTCACTTTCTCTCTCTCTTTTTCTCTGTTCCTCTCTGGTCAAATATAAATAAATAAATAAAATAAAATAAAATAATTCTTTAAAAAACCATTTATTTAAAAAAAAAAAGACATGGGGACCAGCAGTTAGCGTAATGGCTATATTGCAGAACTCCCAAGTAGTCAACCACGGTTCGAGTCCTGGACCCGGTGGCTTAAACTCACGCTGGGCGCGCGTGTGTGCGTGCATGCCCAAGATCCTGAGAGGAGACGGGAGAAGAAGGGATTGCGGCGTGGCCATACCCCCTGTGGTGTGATTTCTCGCTTTCTGTCTCTCTGTCCCTCTGTCTTTCTGGCGAGCACACGCGCCCGATAGCAAAAAGCTCTCCAAAAAAAAAGAAAGAAAAAAAAGACATGAAAAGGCTATCCAAAAAAGAGTAAAATGATTCATCTACTTTCCATATTCCCTTCTTGTACCATTCAAACCACTATATCTTATCCAAATTTGTATGCCATTTTCCCATGTACTTTCCTTGTATATTCATTCTTGCCCTATTTGAATCTATTCATCTCACCACAGTCAGAGTGGTCCTTTAAAAAAATTAAATCTGATGTTACTTTCCAGCTCACAGATTCAGAATCCATACAAGGAATAAGTGCTGTGGGATTCAGTCCTTGTCTATTTTCTTCAGCCTCATCTGCCATTTAACCTCTCTAAACTTCAGTTTCCTCATTTATAAACTAAAGATTATATACTATCTTACTAGAATGTTCTTAAGATAAATGAGATAACTTATGAAAGCCTTAGCACAATATCCATCCACACCATGAGCTCAACAAACAATAGATTATTAAACTATGATTATTATCCTTCTCTAAGTTCACCAGTCCTTGGTTTTGAAAGTCCTTGATAATTCCAGAATGTCTTAGTTCTCAGCATTTTCTCCTTATTGCCAGAGAGGTCATTACCAATTACTCCTGTCTTAACAAATGTAGCCTCTTCATTAGGGAAGCTCAGACATACCTGATTCGTTCCTCTCATGGCAGTTAACTCAAAAAACAAAACAAAACAAAACAAAACAAGCCACACAAACTATCCTAGAGCGTGCATTCTCTAAGCACCTCATATGATATAGGAAAACTTGTATGTATTTAACTTAAAACTGTTACACAGAATGTATGGAATTAAATAGAAATATGTAACATCCTCTAATTACTTCTACAAATCCATGTCAAAATTGAAGCTTTTTAAAAAACAGTAACATTCTCAAAATAAATAAAATAAAATAAAATAAAATAAAATAAAAAAGATGAGGGCCAGCCAGGTGGCATGGTGGTTGCAGTGGCTGGATCCCATGTGGCCCACTATGTGGTTTGAGTACTGAACCTGGAAACTTGAGGAACATGCTGGGCATGTGTGCCCAAAATCCCAAGAGGAGAATGGACGACAGGAACTGCAGTATGTTTTTCACCCCCACCCTGCCACAAGTCACATGTGTCATGTTACAAATAAAAAGTGATAGACTTACTTGGTACATACCACATGGGTGATGACATCTCTATGCATGTAACTGCGCTCATACATGGAGGCACTGGGGAGATTATCAAGATAGACTCTTTCAAACTCTAGAACTGAACCAAAAAAAAAGTAAAGTAAAAAATTTATCTTTAATGAATAGATTAAATACTATTTTATTTTATTTCAAAATTTCTAAATCCCATTTCATATTTTTTCTACATTTTAATCTCTCAATTCATATGTAATGATTACTAAATACTAACATTACTTAGTCAGTTATGACAGTTTTTCAGTATTACATATGAGGGGAATCTTCGAAAAGTTTATGAAAAAAAGTGTATCATAAGAAAACTAAGTATGTGGGGCCAGCAGGTGTTACAGTGGTGAGTGTGCTGGACTCACACATGGCCAACCATGGTTTAAGTCCTGGGACGGGTGGCTTTCTTTGTTACTTTCTCTCTGGTGCGCACACATGCCCTATAAAAACTTTAAAAGTAATAATAATAAATAAAATTAAAATAAAAACTAAGCATAGATTTCAAAAACTTTTTGCACCAAAATAAACCTGTACTTTAATTCCATTTTTTTCATAAATTTTTTGAAGTCTTCTCATAGATACTTAACTGTCTCTAGGACTTAAGAACTGTGGTTCTGACTTAATATGAAGACTCCAATAAAGAAAGTAATAACTTAAAAAGTGTCAGGGCCAGCAGATGATGATGTGTTAATGCATGCCCAAAAACCCAAAAGGAGACTGGAGACACGATTGTGGTGTGACCAGTCCCACTCAGGGGCGATTCCTTACTTTCTCTACCTCTTCCGCTGTGAGTGCTCATGCCCTACAGCAAAACTTAAACAAGAAAACTGTTTTACAAAAATACCACAATCATCTTCCTAATCATGTAGATACCCAATTATCTGTGCCAATTTAAGTAATGAGTTAAGTGATCATCTGGGAGATAGTTTCAATTTATTTTTAAGCCATCAATCCTCTTTTAAGTGATTGATAATGGATTTGAAACATATAAACATGATAAAATGCTTAGATAGTTAAAGCTGAGAAAATCTTATACAATATCTAGTTGAGTACTCCTCAAATTTTCTCCATGGAAGAAAGGTAATCTGTAGAATGTCAGGAAATATTGATTTTATTATATGAGTTATAAACAATTTTACTAGCAAAAAAAAAAAAAATAAAGACACTACATGTGCACCAAATAAAATAATCCAATCAGTGAAGGGCAAATATGCCTAGAGAAAGTTGCTACATTAAAAATGACAGGCCTTTTCAGGATTTTTTATAACTGCTATATAACAATACTCAAAGTTATATCTGACAAACTACTTTTCCCTCCAGTTCTAGTAAAAGAATCCCCATTTTTATAGGGGCATTCCTTGTAGTTAGTTGTGATCATATGGTAACAATGTAATAGTACTATTAGAGTCAGGAAGTCTCATTAAAAAGGTATGTCCTTTTTCTCCTCAATCTTATAGCTTAGAACTGAGATATGACTACTGTAATTCTAATAATCACTCAGGACACTGAGGATGAGGGTCAAAACTAGTTATATTATGGCAGAAACCTGAAAAGAGCCTAGAAACTTTTGGAACCTCCTTACCAATGTGGACTGCCTACATTGAGACTTCTACACATAAAGTATATGTCTATCTTTCCAATGTTATTGTAATTTTTTTTCTGTAATATGCAATTAAATTTAATCCTATCCGATTTGGATTTATTTTGCTGTTTGTTAGGTCACTTTTGGTCAAATACTTAAATTAATTCTAGAGCACATGGTCATAAAGGAGAGTAAGACATAGTTCCTTTTCTTTCTTATTTTTTGGAGAGGTTTTTGTTTGTTTGTTTGTTTTTGCTATAGTAAGTGTGCGCTCGCCAGAAAGACAGAGAGAGACAAAGAGATAGAAAGCGAGAAATCACCCCCCAGGGGAATGGCCACACAGCAATCCCTTCTCCTCCATTCTCCTTGGCACGCATGCACATGAGCCCGGAGTGAGTTTAAGTCACCAGATCTGGGACTCGAACTGCAGTCAACTTTGTGGGAGTCCAGTGACAGCCATTATGCCAACTGCTGGTCCCCATAGTTCCTTTTCTTAGAAACATTTTAATTGTAAGTAGTACCATACAATCGCACATCACATCTTTGTGAAAACGTACACAAGAGTCAAATGTCCAAATAATTTATTAAATATTAGCTTTTCTGAAAGCTAATATTTTCATTTATTTATTTGCTTATTTACTTGATTTTGTTACAGGGCTTTTTGCGCTCAACAGAGAGACAGAGAAAATGAGAAATCACTCCTAGGAGGACAGCAGCAATCCTTTCTCATCCAGTCACCTCCTGGAATTTTGGGCATGTGCACACATGCACCCAGAGTGATTTTCAAGTCCCTGGAACTCAAATCGCACAGCTGGCCATGTAGGATCCAACACCTTAAACTCCAAGCCGCTTGGTAGCCTGAAAGCTAACATTATTAAACACCTGTCTTTTTAGACAAAAATTTAAATATTTTTCTAACATTCTATACATATTTTTTTAGTTTCAGTTTCTTTTTTATTTTTTTCCAAACAGAATACACTATCGACTGGCTTAGAAACAATAAGCAAATTATTAAGGTTAAAGATTTGTTTTTTTAAAAAATGGTTTCATTTAACTTTGTTTATTTACTTAATATTTTTAATTTGACCAGAGAGGGACAGAGTGAGAATAGGAGAGAGAAAGTGAGAAAGCAAGCCACCAGATCTGGGACTTGAACTACGGTTGGCCATGTGGGAGTCCATCGCCCTGAACTATCACACCAACTGCTGGCCCAAAGGGTAAAGATTTTCATACCTAATACTTTCTCCCTTTGTCCCAATGTATTAAGTTTGTAAGGTACTTGTTTCCTAATACTAATATTATTTTTTTAAGAATTATTTATTTTATTTATCATTATTGTTGTTTTTAATTTGACCAGAGCGAGACACACACACACACACACAGAAAGAGAGAAAGCAAGCCACTGGGTCTGAGACTCGAACCATGGTCATCCATGTGTGAGGCCAGCACCTTTAACCACCATGCCACTTGCCGGCCCCAACACTAATACTATTTTGATATTTCTTGACTTTTCTATTTCCCTCACTAATTTCACAAAAAAAGCAAAAATATTAACATGAAATAAATCACAGCATAAACATTGCAATATTCATTCACTTAATAAATACTTAGGTGCAGCTGCTATATGCAAAACGCTGCACCAAGCACTGGAATAAAACTAGTGTGATCCTTGTTACAGTCTTATAGTCTTAGCAATAGATACAACATTAATCAATCACAAGAATCAATTAGAAACTGTAGCAAGTATAATGAAGGAAAAGGATGCTAAGGTGAAATGTAACAGAAGAAACAGGCATTAAAAAAATAATAATGCACTTAGGGAATCAATACACAATGTTCCAAAAAAGTAGCTTCTTCAAATCCTGGATACATAAGACTTGAAAGCTTCCTGTAAATTTAGTCTGATAAAGATTAACTCAGTTACCATTATGCTTTAGAAACCCAGTTTAGACTGGAGAACTCACAGGCTTCCCAGAAGAGGTGACAGCTAAATTCTAAGGGTTTAACAAAAGTTAGCACAGTAAAAGAAGTGAGGGAAACATTTTAAATATAGGTAGATACCAAGTTTGATATCCTATTATTTGGAAAGGCATCCAGAGCAGAAAACAGTCCATAGCCCATTCTCTTGTGATTTGGTTGGGCTGAAACACAAAGCAAAATGTTGGGAGAGGAGAGTAATGGAAGATGCATTAGGGAGGTAAGAAGAAATCTCAAACCTTATGAGCCATGTCAGAGAGTTTGAGCTTTGTTTTTAAAAAAATGATGAGAAACACCCAAAAACTATTAAGTAGCAGAGAGTAATAAAGATCTGAGGCCTAGAAAGACGGTATTTTAAGTGTCTTCAATGTATAAGGCAAACATTGTACTGAATAACTTAAAAAGAAAATTTAATTGATTTATTTCCCCGTCTCTTTCATTTGCTAAAATTTTGCTCTTATTCCACCAGTGACAAAATTTCAGTTCACGGTATCTCCAGTTTGAAAACTACAGGCCTCAGAATTTGGATGAAAAAAATTGTAATCCAGGAAGCTTAAAGAACTTGAATAGTGAGAAAAGTTATTAGTGGAAGAGTTAAGGTTAAAATTATCTTCACCTACTCTTTCTGATTCTGAAAAGGCACCATCGCCTTCCTCCCCAAAGCTCTCACATCACTCCTGAGATAAAGGCTTAAAGAGAACCAGAACTCTTTTCTTACACTGAACATAACTTTAAATTCTAACCTCATATGGCTGATCTAGGGACCAAAAAAGACCGCCAAAAATTGAAGTTCGGGTAAATGCTAGCTCCAGCATCTATTTCAACAAACTAGTGATTAATGGTGTTAGGACATAAAACTCCACAATCACACACTATCCCTTTTTGGGGACTGCCTTGAACTCAAATTTTCCCACTTGGCCGATGCAGCGTTCCAATTGGCCCTGAACCTATCTCCGAAGCTACCTTTCCTTTTCTTGGCCAGCGTTGCCTCCACCGGTAAAGGCCCAACCCAGCGCTCTTCATTCTCCTCATCGGCCTCTTGGGGCACTGCCAGCTGTCTCTCACTGGGTTCCACTTTTTCTGGTTCGTCTGAGTCCCGATGCCTTCTTCTTCTCAGCTGTAAATCACTACCGCTTTCCGCCGCCATGTCTTCCCAAGCGTCAGAAAAGACGCGACACACATCTCGGCAACCAATCCCAAAGCATCGGCTCAGCTTTTGCGTCGCGCCCGAGCGAGCTTCGGGATTGGCTGCGGTGTGTAGGAGAAGACCCAATCAGCAAACAGCGCGCGCACAGCCCCTCAGTGGGAAGAGCTGACTACGCTAAGCGGAGGCGACCTCAAGTTTTGTGACTGACTCTGTGAAGGTAAGAGGTGGCCTGGGGAGAGCGCCGAAACCGTTGAAGCCTGCCGACCCGGATGGCGGCCCACAAGCTGTGCAGCCCTAACCCCGGAGGTGGGACTTTTACCCTCCCAGCGAATTGGACATCTAAGCTGTCCTTGAGTTTTTCTGTACTCCCTGTCCCGCGTCAAAACAGCTCCAGAACCCTCTGGTTACCAAAGAGACGCGGGGTTGGGGGAATAGAAAATACTGGTTAACTCGCAGGTTTCCGTCCAAAACCTCCACACATTGTCTTCTCTCCTAAACGTCTTTCTTCTACACTCTCTCTGTTTTGGGGTAGCGGGAGTAGAATCAGCCACGTCAAGAACGTAAGTGGCCAGTGGCAGGACCAGTTACCTTTCTGTCTTAACCCTGGTCTAAGCCTTTTATCAGCTTTTAACAGTTTTCTGGAATTAAAGCTCCTTCCTCCATTTTGTTCTTCTTTCCTTTTATCCTCTCTTCCTTTTTTATTGTGTTGAAAAATACATAACATAAAATTTCCTTCCTGCTCTTTTTATTAAAAAATATATAAAATTCATTAAATACAACTTGTCAAAATGACCTCCCTAAAACAAAATATTTCGTGGTTGATTATTTCAACCCAGTTAAATCTCTACTTTTGTATTGAGGTGGACTTTAGATACAGAGAAGGAACTGCCCATGGTAGGCACTTACTTCCAATTCCCAATTCCTAATTCTATTTTATAATTTCATATTTGCATTTAATAGTTTTTTGTCTTTATTGTGAATAATATGGTTTTTCTAAAGCATACATGCAGTGCGAGATAATCAAATCAGGGGTAATACCTTATACAATGTTTTCAACCAAAAATCTTACATTCCTGTGTCTGTTAAATATTTCTCTCCTGAGCTCCTCTCACCCATTCCCTACCATTCACTCCTGTCCCCATACAGTCTCTAGTAACTACACTTTCCCTCTACTATTATGACTTCAATTATTTCAATTTCTGCCATAGAGTTCAGATGTTCACTGTATATTGAATGGGGGGTATTCAATATTTGTCTTTCATAGTCTGCTTATTTCACTTAACATTAAGTCATATATGTTCATCCACTTTGTATCAAATGAGAAAATGACAATCTCACTGTTCTTTATGGCTGAGTAGTATTTTATGTGTATATTGACCACTTTTTTCCCATCCAATCATGAATTATTGGGTACTTAGGTTAATTTCATGTCTTAGCAATTGCAAATAATGCTTAAGTAAACATGGATATACAAGTGTCTTTCTGAATAATTTCTTATCTTTTGGGTAAATACCTAGGAGTGGGATTACTGAGTTCTACAGTAGTTCTATTTGTAAATTTTCGAGGAACCTCAATTCTGTTTTCCACAGTGACTGTACTAATTTACATTCCTATCCTCAGTGCAGGAGGGTTCCCTTTTCACCACAGCCTTACCAGCACTTGTTCTTATAATCATAGACATTTTGACTGGAATTATGGTTTTGATTTGTTTTTCCCGTATGATAAGAGACATTGAACATTTTTTCATATGCTTTATGGCTGTTCAAATGTCTTCCTTGGAGAGTTATCTGTTCAACTCATTTGCCCTTACTTTTTATTTACTTATTTTTTAGAAAGATTTTTGCTATAGGGCACATGTGCTCACAGAGAGGCACAGAAACAGCAAGAAATAACCACCGAGGGGTGGGTGGTGGCCACATGCAGTCCTTTCTCTGCCATTCTTGTCTCGGGATTTTGAATGCACACACATGAGGTGTGAATTTTAAGCCTCTGGGTCCAGGACTCGAACCGTGGTCAACTATGTGGGAGTCTAGTAACCATTACTCCATCTGTTGGTCCCTCCTTTGCCCTTGTTAAATTAGGTTATTAGTTTTATGTGGGTGAGCTGCTTGAGTTCCTCTATATTCTATTTATCAATCTCTTATCTGAAGAATAGTTCATAAATGTTTTTTCCCATTCTGTGGGTTATCTCTTTACTCCATTTATTGTTTCCTTTGCTGTGCAGAAGTTTTTTACCTTGATGTAATCCCACTTGTCTGTTTTCCCCACTTGTCTGTTTTTTGAAATTGTTGACTACACTTCAGGTGTCTTATTTAAGAAATCTTTGCCTACTCCAATGTCTTCAATTGTTTCCCCTGTAGTTTGAGGTTTACATTTAGATCTTTGATCCATTTTAAGTTGATTTTTGTTAATGGTGAGAAATAGGAGTCTAATTTCACTTTTCTGCAGATGGATAGCCAGTTCTTCTAGTACTATTTGCTGAAAGATTTTCTTTCCTCCACTGGATAATCTGTCAAAAATCAGTTGGTTATACGATTTTAGGTTTATTTCTGTTTTCTATATTCTGTTCCATTGGTCTATATGCCTATTTTTGTGCCAGTACCATGCTGTTTTGATTATCACAGCTTTGTAATATATTTGAGGTTGGGTAATGAGATGCCTCTGTAAGAACTTTTTTTGTTTTTCTCTCCAAGACTTTTATTATTTAAGCTATACTTCCTAGCAAGTCTCAATTTTTCCCTGTCTTCACCTCTAATCAGTTCACTTGCTTTTGTGTCTCAGAGATTTGCCTTGCCCCTTCTTGCCTCTCAGTGTTGATTTTATGCCTCAAAACTATCCCTGTATCAATCTGGTCTTCAGTTTTTACGACTTCTCATCTCTCAGAGTCTATGGTAACAGTAATGAGGGTGAAGATAATAATGATAATGTTAGGGACACAGTTAATATTTATTAAGCATTATTATGTACTAATACCATTTTCCTTCTAGATAGGTCTCTAGCCTACATTATCTTGAATTCTGAAAGCATTTGCAGTCTGTGTTGTATAATTTACCATTTTATAATAATTCTTACTACCTAAAACTCATATTGTATCATTAGTTGTCCATTTGTTTATATTTTCTTTCCCTTGTGAGAATGTAAACTCCACAGAGACAGAATTTTCTTTTTACCTGTACAATTGTGTCTGATAAATAATACACATTAAGAACATAAAATGAGGGGCCAGCAGATGGCATAGTGGTTATGTCACTAGACTCCCACATAGCCAGTCACTGTTCATGTCCCAGACCCATCGGCTTGAAAATCACACTGGATGTATGTATGTGTGTGGCCAGGATCCCAGAAGAAGAATGGAGGAGAAGAGATTGAAGTGCGGCCATCTTCCTCAGGGGGTGATTTCTCACTTTCTCTCTCACTGTCTCTGTCTCTCTCTCCAATGAGCACATGTGCCCTAAAGCAAAAAATCTCTTAAAAAAGAACATATGAGACTTCAAAAGTTTGTTAAAAAATGGAATTAAAGTATGAATTTACATTGGTGCAAAAATGTACGTTTTCTATGAACATTTGAAGATTTCCTGTATTTGTTAAAGAAATGAATATGTCTTAGAATCACATGGGTACTTATTTATTTCATGTATTTTAATTCTCATTTAATAGTATGAGTTTCTTTAGGTTGGTATGATGAAATATTACCTAAATATAGTGGTATTGTTGCTCTTCAGTAAATAACTGGGTGTTGTTAACTAAGGACCTCAAAAAGTTGATCTGTTCTTGGGACCAGCAGTTAGCGTAATTAATGGCTATGTTGCTGGATTCCCACGTAGTTGACCGCGGTTCGAGTCCCAGACCCGGTGGCTTAAACTCACACTGGGTGTATGTGCGTGCGTGCCCAAGATCCCGAGAGGAGAATGGAAGAGAAGGGATTGTGGCGTGGCCATCCCTCCGGGGGGTGATTTCTCACTTTCTATCTCTCTGTCTTTGTCTGTCTGGCAAGCGCACGCGCCCTATAGCAAAAACCTCTCCAAAAAAAAAAAAAAAAAAGTTGATCTGTTCTCTTCCCAGAAAGAAGATTTAGAATACAAAATATGGGGTTGGCAGGTGACCTGGTGGTTAAGGGTGCTGGACTCCCACATGGCAGACCGTGGTTTGAGTCCTGGACCTGGTGGTTTGCTTTCTCACTTTCTCTTCTCTCTTTCTCTCTCTCTCACTCTGTCCCTCTCTGGTCAAATTAAATAAATAAACAAATAAGTAAATTTAAATATAAGAATTCTTTTAAAAAAGAAGAAGAAAAATATGGATAAGGAATAAAGTTAAAGTATTAAGTAAGTGCTTTTTTCCTTTTTTTTGAACAAGCTACAGAAACTCATTTCTCACAGTCCTAGAGTCCATAGGTCTGAGGTGAGAGTGCTAGAATTTTCTAGTTTTGGTAAAGGACATCTTCCAGGTTCCACAATTGACTTCTTGTATATTTACCTGGCAGAATGAATGAACCCTTAAATATGATAATTTAGGGGCCAACAGGTGGCATAGTAGTTATGGCGCTGGGCTCCCACACGGCTGACAATTGTTCAAGTCCTGGACATGATGGCTTGAAAAGCACTCCAAGCACTTGTGTGTGTATGCCTAAAATCCTGGGAGGAGAATGGAGGAAAAGGGATTATGACTTGGCCATCCCTGCTGGGGGGTGATTTCTCACTTTTCCTCTCATTGTCTCTTTCTGGCAAGTGCATGCATCCTATGGCAAAAATGTTTAAAAATGATAGTTTATTTGTATTCTGATGCTATACTGAATGCCTCACTAATTTGTTGAGTATCTTTTATTTTTTTGAATTATCTATTAACACAAAAAATTTTGCAGTAGTTTTGCATACTGATAACATTTTAGTGATAAGCTCCAAAGTGAGGAATGATCAATTTTCACTTAATTTATATTTAAGGGATCCTTAAAACAGAATTATTTATATAATTTTTGGCTTTTTTTGCTTGAAAATATTCTAAAGTTATTGAGAGTCAGCCGCACTACTGCTGTCCAAGACTGCTGAGATGCTTTCTTGTCAGCTATCATCTGCTTCCAACATAGAAGATATGGTCATGGAGGGTCCAGCAGTTGGTGTAATGGCTGTGTCGCTGGACTCTCATGTAGTCGACTGCAGTTCAAGTTCCGGACCCGGTGGCTTAAACTCACGCCGGGCACGTGTGTGTGCGTGCCCAAGATCTTTAGAGGAGAATGGAGGAGAAGGGACTGTGGTGTGATCATCCCCACTGGAGGGTGATTTCTCTCTTTCTGTCTCTCTGTGTCTCTCTGTCTTTCTGCGAGTGCACGCGCCCTATAGCAAAAACTTCTCCGAAAAAAAAATAAAGACAAAAAAGAAGATATGGTCGTGGAAATAAAACAAACTGGTGCAGTAGACCAAATTGGATGAGCAGACTGAGTCATATAATCACATGGTAACCGGCATGAATTCTGTCACAGAGCAAGGAGCTAAATTATCCAATGAAAAGAAGAGTTTTCTTTCGGTAGCTTTGAAAATGTTTAAGTGCTCAGGTCATCTTAGAGAGTCACCTCATGTATTTGAGCAAATGACTGAAGGTGCTGAGAAAAAAAAAAAATAAAAAACAGATGGCTCAAGAATTCAGAGAGGAACCAGCAGTTAGCGTAGTGGCTATTCGCTGGACTCCCACGTAGTCGCCCGTAGTTAGAGTCCCGGACCCCGTGGCTTAAAACTCACGCGGGACGCGTGTGCGTGCGTGCCCAAGATCCCAAGAAGAGAATGGAGGAGAAGGGATTGCGGCGTGACCATCCCCCCTGGGGGAATGATTTCTCGCTTTCTGTCTCTCTGTCTCTCTCTGTCTGTCTGGCGAGCGCACGCGCCCTTTAGCGAAAGTCTCTCCAAAAAAAAAAAAAAAGAATTCAGAGAGAAAATTGAGACTGATTGTGCTGAGCAATAGCTGCAATAATGTACTTTTCTTTTGAAAAAGTTCTTGATCCCATTGCTTCTCAAGCAGAGAACAAAATCTTTTGTTTGAAAATGAAAGATTACTGTTGTAATTTAGCTAAAGTTGGTGCTGGTAATGCCAAGAAAGGGATTGTGGGTCAGTTACAAGCTTACCAAGAAGCTTTCCAAATCAGCATAAAGGAGATGAAACTAATGTGTCCTATCAGATTGGTCTAGCCTTTAATTTCTCTATGTTTTTTATGAGACTTGAACTCTCCAGACAAAACTTGTTCTCTTTCAAAGACAGCTTTTTTAAAAATAATTATTTCATTTCATTTATTTATTTAATTTATTTTAATGTGATTAGAGAAGGACAGAGAGAGAGAAAGTGAGAAAGCAAGCCACCAGGTCCCAGACTTGAACCATGGTCAGCCATGTGGGAGTCCAGCACTCTTAACCACCACGCCACTTGCTGGCCCCTCAAAGACAGCTTTTGATGAAGCCTTTGCTGCACTTGGTTACATTAAATGAAGAGTCATAAGAAGACAGTGTGCTAATAATGCAATTACTGAGTGACAACTTTGACATTATGGATAGCAAATACCCAAGGAGACAGAAGTTGAAGAAGGAAGAGGAAATTAAGTGGCCTTTCAATTTTTGTCTGTCTCATTCTAAAATTTACACAGTATACGGTTTGCTATCCATGCTGTCCTATAAATAGTTTTTTGCTTAAAATTTATGGTATAGTTATGTTATATTTGTTTAAATTTCATGATTGAAAACTTGGCTGAGACCCATATATTTAACTTTTTTTTATTTTAAAGTTTTTTCTATGATTTTTTTATTTATTGTTATTGACATTTTTGTGCTATAAAAATACTTTCTGGAAATAACTTGAGCTAATGGCTACCTTTGTTTAATGTCTTATGAAATTTCTATGAGAGAAATTCAAGTATAATTGTCTTTGTGGTCACTGGAGAGACAGAGACAGAAAGCGAGAAATCATCCCTGAGGGGGTTGGCCATGCCACAATCCCTTCTTCATTTTCCTCTTGGATTGTGGTCACGCACAAACATGTTCCTGATGTGTGACTCAGGCCACTGGGTCCAGGATTCAAACCATGGTCAACCACATGGAAGTCCAACAGCTTAATCACTACACCATCTCCTGGCCCTCCAAATATAGTTTTAAGAACATGTGTGTAAAATTCATATAATTGGAATAAAGATTTAATGAATGTACTTTTCAAAAATATTTTTAAATTACTAACAGCAGGTTTTAGCCTTGTGAATTTACATTATGGTGTATCTTATGAGTATAGCATGTAAGATTTAGAATAAACACTTTCCGTCATGACATAAATTATTTTAATAGCCTTCCGCTAGTTGACATTCAGATTGTTAATGGTAATAGCCAACACTGTTACAATTCTTTATATACTAGGAGTAGTTATAAGAGCTTTATATATATCAACTCATTTCATTGTCATGACAATCATGTGGGGTATGTAATATTATCTTCACTTTTCAAATAAGGAACTGAGGCACAGAAGTTTAAGTGACTTGCCCAAGGTCTCATAGCTTGTAAGTATTGAAAGTGAGATTTAAACCTAGACTCTCTTTGTTGCAGGGTTCACACCGTTAAAGTTTTTATTAATAGATAATTTACTTGTGTAGACTTATTTAAATTTTGTCAGAAGTTATGTGAGCTCAACAGAGAGAAAAAGCACTCCCTAATAGGGTGTGGTCACACTGCAAAATCTTTTCCTCTATTTCTCCATTTTGTTAGGCTTTGGGGCACCTGTGCACATGCATCCAGTATGTTTTTTAAGCTGCTGGGGCCAGGATTTGAACTGCATGGTGGTTCCCTTAACTTCCAGGCTATCTTTTATATCTTTTTCCTGTATTTAGAAGGTATTTTTTCATTGATTTTCCATTTGTGCCCATTACTCATTTTTATTGGATTGTTTTTGTCCTTTATCTTTTTATTGTTAAAAAAAAAAAAGTGTAGACACAAAACAAACTGCAAAATAAATGTAAAGTCAGGAATTATTAGAAGATGAACATCCTGACCAGCAGATGGCATAGCAGTTACGTCACTGGACTCCCACATGGCCTGACCACAGTTTCAGTCCCAGACCCAGTACTTAAAAATCAGACCGGGTATGTGTGTGTGCATGCCCAAGATTCCAAGAGAATAGAGGAAAAAGGAATACAGTGTGACCATCCCTCTGGGGTATCATTTTTCACTTTCCCTCTTACTGTGTCTGTCTCTCTCTCTCTCTCTCTCCCAAGCAAGTACATGTGCCTTAAGGCAAAAAAGCTCTTAAAGAAAAAAAAAAAAAAAGGTTAACATCCTTACCATCATGCAAGTCAAGAAGTATAACTTTCATAATCACTTCAGTAGTCTCCATTTGATCCATTACAATCACATTCCTTCTCATTTCTATCTGTATATTCTTTATGTATCTGTATGGTAATAACTTTAAGTATCTATATTATGATGATTTATAAATTCATATCTCTTGCTTGAAATTTTCCTTTGAAGTGCAGATGTGTATGTCCACTTGCTTAGTCAACAGTTACACTAATAGACACTCCAAATTTAGGCTGTCTTAAACTAAATTCTTAATCAATGTTTCTCCCCTATTTTGCCAGAATGGTTTGTGTTTTTTGTTTTGTTTTGTTTTGTTTTGTTTTTACCATCTTGCCCATCTTAGTAACTGGTAATTACATTCTTCAAAATACTTAGACTCAAAAACATTTTTAGTAATAATGTACTCCTTTCTTTTTTTGATACTCTATATGCTGTCTGCTAAGAAATCCTGTTGAAAATGTATCCAGAATTGGATATTTTGCTCTGTCTCTATTCAATATTATTGTGGTCCATACCTTACTCATATCATTGCTGTAGCTTTACAACTCATTTTTCTAATTTTATCCTTATTGGCTGTAGTTAACCCGAGTGGTACTGTTAAAATGCAATTTAAATAATGTCATTCCTTTCCTCAAAATTCTCTATAATTATCATTCATCTTAGGTCCTTAAAATGGCCTGCAAAGTCTGTATGATCACATTTCTACTGTCTCCCTGACCTCATGTTCTACTCTTTTTCTTACTTAATATGCTCAAGTCATACTGCTTTGCTGCTCGAGGACTGTGCAAGTCATTTTCCTGCTCCAAGGTCTTTGTATTTGCAGTTTTCTCTGCTGGAACCTCTTTCTCTTTTTGTCCCCATGACTTACTTGTTTATATCCTTGTATTTTTTGACTTAATTGCCAACTTCTCAGTGACCTTATATGACCACTATATTTAAAATTATGTTGTTCTCCTGGGATGGCAGTGTTTACATCTCTGGATTCCCACATGCTGATTGCGGTTTGAGTTCTGGATCTGGTGACTTGAAACTCATGCTAGATGTGTGCACATCTGTGCCCAAGATCCTGGGAGGAAAATGGAGGAGAAGGGATTGTGGTATGGCTATCCCCTATTGGGGGTGATTCCTCACTTTTCCTTTCACTTTCTCTGTCTCTCTCTCTCTGGTAAGTACACAGGCCCTAAGGCAAAAACCTCTTAAAAAGATATTTTGTTGTTCCTGCCATACCACTCCCTGTTGCTTCCTTGCCTGGCTTTCCTCCATGACTCTTAAACATTATTTGATGTACTACAGTGTGTGCATTTGTGTGTGTGTGTGTGTGTGTGTGTGTGTGTATCTATATATACATACATAAAAGCACACATATGTTATATTTTTTAAATAAATTTTTGGTTCTTTTTTTTTTTTTTTTCCCCCAGAGGATGCTCACCAGTGCGAGATGGGGCAGAGGAAGGGGGGTGGTAAGGGAAAGCAAAAAAGCCCATACCACCCATGGGGTATGGGCCCAAATACACATGCACCCAGTATGTTTCTTAAGCCACTGGATCTAAGACTTAAACTGCACAGTCAACCATGTGGAAACCAGCTGCTTTCATCAACAAGCCACTGGCTTGCCTTGTTATGTTTTTATTAACTAGAGTAAGTTCTATGATGGAGATATTTTTGCCTGTTTTGTTCACTGTGGTATCTTGAGTGCATAGATGAATATCTGACAGATAATAACTGTTCAACAAATATTGTTAAATGAATATTGTTTGCTTTATCTTTTCTTATAAGATTAAGAAAATCACAAAGCACATGTCAGTGAATCATCAAGATCTAGATACGGAAAGTACTATGGATGTGGAAGATGTTATAGATACTGAAGAAGAACTTATCAAAGAATGTGAAGAAATGTGGAAAGATCTGGAAGAAGTAAGTATCATGAGGTAAAACTTATAATTAATATAAGAAACAAAATGTTTTTTTTTTATTTAGTCATTTTTTTCTTTAGGGCTTGTACATTCGTCAGAGAGGCAGATGGAAGAAAGAAAGAGAGAAATCACCTCCTGGGGGGGTGTGTCCAAACAGCAGTCCCTTCTCCTCCATCTCCTAGGATTTAGGGAACAAACACACATGCCTGGCATAAATTTCAAGCCACTGAGCTTGGGACTTGAACCATGGTGGGCCATGTGAGAATCCAGCACCTTTATCATTATGCCCACCTGCTGGCCTCCAAATAAGTTTTAATAATTAGACTCAGGAGAGAATTATGATAGTTCCCAAAAGCCATTATTATGTATGATTAATATTTATGTATTGTTTAGATATAAAAGCATTCATTCTGGAAACTATGCCATATGTGCTATAGAAAGAGAAAAAATTATGGCAGTTCTTGCCCTCAAAGAGATGATCTTTTTATGGAGGCAATAGACATTATATTAACATTGTAATACAATGTGAGAATTATTATGTTATAAGAAGACAAAGACTATACTTAGGAAGAGTACTGAAATTCAGGCTAAAGGGGTTTAGGATAGCTTTCCAGGATAGGTAATCAGTGATTTCATTTCTTAAGAATAAATGTGAGTCACCGGGCGCGTGTGTGTGCGTGCCCAAGATCCTGAGAGGAGAACGGAGGAGAAGGGATTGCGGCGTGGCCATCCCCCTGGGGAGTGATTTCCCGCTTTCTGACTCTCTGTCTCTCTCTCTGTGTCTGGCGAGCGCACGCGCCCTATAGCAAAAACCTCTCCAAAAAAAAAAAAAGAATAAATGTGAGTTAGCCTGTGGAAGTAGGAAAGGTATAGAGAGCAGAAAGAAATAAATGTGTAATGGTTGAGAACTCTGAGCTGAATACTAGGGGTAATGTAAATTAGGAAAACTTGGGGCAAAAACATGGAGGATTTTCTTTAGTGTGTACTACGGGGAGCCTTTAAAGTATTATCAGCACAGAATAGACAGGTAAGTAGTTTGGGGAAATTTCTCTGCTCACTTTGAAGAAAATGGCATCCGTGGGACCAGCAGTTAGTTTAATGCCTATGTCGCTTAACTCCTACGCAGCCGACTGCGGTTTGAGTGCTGGACCCGGTGGCTTAAACTCAATGCCGGGTGTGTGTGCGTGCATGCCCAAGATCCCGAGAGGAGAATGGAGGAGAAGGGATTGCAGCATGGCCATCCCCCCTGGGGGGTGACTTCTTGCTTTCTGTCTGTCTGTCTGTCTGACGAGCGCACACGCCCTGTAGCAAAAACGTCTCAAAAAAAAAATTAAAAAATAGCATCCAGAAGAATGAGACTGTAGGTACAGAGAACATCTGGGCATTAAGGCTTAAAAAAAAAAAAAAAGACATTTCAGAAGCTCTCGTTAGTAATCTTGGTCAGTAATGGAGGCCTGTGTACTCTTATAGCAAATAAAAGAATGGATTCAAGAGACAGTAAGAGGGTAGGCCCCGAAGGACTTCGGTGTTAATTGAAATCAGAGGAAATGGCCATGGATAGTACCCCTGCAGGGTAATGGACACATACACATGCTCACGCAGTGTGTTTCTCAAACTGCCGGGCCCAGGGCATGTTTGGGCCATTGGGTGGTTGGTGGGGTTATTCCCTATAATAGAAACTGTTAAACTGAGAACACAATTATTGAGTCATCAGAACAGTCATTGTTTTTGCATAGAAAAACTTAGAAAAATGTGTCATGACTTTTCAGATGACCCATCATTAACGTAAACATGAATTAATTTAGAAAATGTTGAGTTTGAAATGTTCAGGAGTGTTCACGTTTTCTGAGATCAAGAGATAGAAATGCTGTTGCTACATTATAATATGTTGGTAAAAATTCATTTTACCTAATGTAATGTGTAATATAGGCCACATACATGTTTAGCATCTTATTTTTCCCAGTAAAATGTCAGAATAGAGCATATTAGTGGAATTTTTTTCTGTTCTTTTTTAAAAATTATTTTTAACATATGTCCTTGGTACTCTTAATTATTTAATTAATGTATTTTCAAAATAATTTATATAATCCTCATTTTTTGCTTCTTAGTACAGAAATTTGAATTTAAAAGTAACTTTTTAAAAAATTAATGGGAAAATACTACAATTAGAAATAAGCACACAGGGCCAGCAGGTACCCTGGTAGTTAAGATGCTGGACTCCCACATGACTGACTGAGGTTCAAGTCTTGGACCTGGCAACTTGCTTTCTCACTTTCTCTCTGGTGAGCATATATGCCCTGTAGCAAATAAAAATAATAATAAATAAAAAATTATTTTAAAAAAGCACAAATATCATTTAAATTACTCATATATTAGGTCATCAGAAAAGTCATGACCCATTTTTGCACAGGAAAACGTAGGAAAGTATGTCATGACTTTTCTGATGATCCAATTTTTTAAAAGAGTTATTTAATTTTACTTATTATTGTTATTATTATGTTTTAATTTGCTATAGAGAGAGAGAGAAATTGAGAAAGCAAGCCACCACGTCCAAGAATCAAATTGTGGTCAGTCATGTGGGACGCTGGTGCCTTAACCACTGTGTTACCTGCTGGCCCCAAATTACCCATATTTTTACCTGTCAAATAAAATAATTTTAATAATTTTGGATTTTTATAATAGTACAAAAATAATGTCCCCTCAAGGCTTTATTTTCCTATGATCTTAGCCATTTTCTTAACTTACTTTATTTTTCTTTTTTAAAAAGTTTGTTGTTTGTTTTGCTGTAGGGCACGTGCACTTGATAGAGAGACAGAAAGACAGAAAGCAAAAAATCACTCTTTCAGGGGGATGGCCATGCCACAACCCCTTCTCCATTCTCCTCTTGGGATCTTTGGCATGCATGCATATGTGCCTGGTGTGAGTTTCAAGTCGCAATGTCTGGGACTCAAATTGTGGTCGACCACATGAGAGTCCAGTGACATAAGCATTACTCCATCTGCTGTTCCCATCTTTGTTTTAATTTTGATAAGAGGTTTTTGCCATAGGGTGTATGCACTTGCTGGAGTGAGAGAGACAGAGACAATGAGAGGTAACATCCCCTAGGAGGGGTGACCATACCGCAGTCCCTTTTAACCCCTTCTTCTCTATTCTCCTCTTGGGATCTTGTGCACACACACACATACAGGTGTGATTTTCAAGCCACTGGGTCCAGGTCTTCAACTGATGTTGGCATGATTTTCAAGGTCCAGGTTTCAAACTACTATTGGCCACATGAGAGTCCAGTGATATAACTACTATGCCACCTGCCAGCCATGTTATTTTTATTTTTTAAACAAATTCTTTATTTAGGGACCAGCAGTTGGCACAATGGCGTAATGAGTTTAAATTCATGCCGGATATGCCCAAGATCCTGTGTGCGTGCATGCCCAAGATCCTGAGAGGAGAATGGAGAAGGGATTGCAGCATGGCCATCTCCCCTGGAGGGTGATTTCTCGGTTTCTGTCTCTCTGTCTCTTTTTGTCTTTCTAGTAAGTGCACGCGCTGTATAGCAAAACCCTCTCCAAAGGGGAAAAAATTCTTTATTTAATTTTATTATTGTTATTATTCTTCAATTTGGCTAGAGAGAACAGAAAGAAGGAGAATAAGAACATACACTGTCAGGTCTGGGAGTCAACAGCAGTCAGCCTTGTGGGAGTCCAGTGCTTAAACATCATGCCACCTGTTGGCCCCACCCTGTTATTTTTCTAAAGTACTTTACCTCTTATTGTTTTGTCTTCTTTATTTTCTATTATGTGACTTCTAATTCATCCTAGCAATTAGTTTTAGTCCTCTTTCCTTCATTCCCTGTGATATACCTTGGGAGCTGTTCCTTATCCTCTTATTTAGAAAGTAAGGAATTTAAGCAAATTCTTCTCTTATATGAGATATTTGTAAATTGTTTGGAGGAATATTATTAGATTGGTGTAAAAAGGAATGGGAAGAGAATTGTTAATGAGTTATAGTGTATGACTCTTTTTTCATTAAGTGTCAGAATAAATTATCACTTATTGGAACTGAGACGCTCACTGATTCAACTGCTCAGGTAAGAATCTTTTTTTTTTTCTTCCTAAAAATAATTAAATGTAATTCATTGTATCTTGGAAAAGAAGTTTATATGTCTATATTACATAAAGTCTTTTTTGTGTTTTTAAGAATTTATCTTCTTTCTTTTTTAAAAAGACATGTATTTATTTACTTATCTATTTATTTGTTGTGATTTTCAAGCTGCCAAGTCCAGGGCTTTAATGTGGTCAGCCATGTGGGAATCTAGTGCCTTAACCACCATTCCACCTGTAGACCCTATATCAAGTCTTTAATAGCTGCACATACTATTTTATGTATACATTAATAGTAAGATGACTTGCTTTTTGGTGGCTGTTATGATTCCATGTTTGTAAACAATTTTTTTAAGTTTATTTATTACTTTTATGAGAGTGCGAGACAGAGACAGAACCCTTAAGAGTCTTGAGAGCCTTCTCCTTGACCCAGCTTTCCCAGCCATGGGTGTATATTCATGACTTAATACATTTTCTAAATCAAGGAACCAGTTATGTTTTAGACATATTTTATATTTTAGAAATATTACTGTTACTATCTTTTTTGGAAAGGTTTTTGAGGCCTAGCTGCAGCAATACGTGCCGGTTCATGCTGCCACTCAGCAGGCCAAGGCCACGTGGGAAGCCTGAGTTAATTCTTGGCTCACTTCAAAAACCAAACACCAGAGCCAGCAGGTGGTATGGTGGTTAATGTGCTGGACTTCCACATGGCTGACTGCGGTTCAAGTCCCGGACTAAATGGCTTGAAACTCACCCTGGTGTTTGTGTTTAAGTGCCCAAAATCCTGAGAGGAGAATGGAGAAGAGGGGATTGTGACACAGCTACCTCTCCGGGGGTGATTTCTCACTTTTCCACTCTCTGATTCTCTCCATCTCACTCACTCTTTCTCTTCGTAAACACATACATCAATGACAAAACCCAATAAAGTAAATAAATGAATGCATGCATGCATGCATGCCAGACGCCAGTAATTTTAGCTTCTGAGTAGGCTGAGGCAGGAAGATTGTGATATAGTAAGATCCTGTCATAAAGGAAAGTAGGAAGGAAAGAAGGAAGGGGAGAAGAAAGGAAGGAAAGAACTGTCTAATTTTATAGCAAGATCAAAAGAATTTGTATATAGGGGTAGGAAACGAAGAAATGTTTAATTTTATAGGAAGATCAGAAATAATTTGGGTATTTGCCTTGCTAGACTTTGCCAGCCTGAGAGCTGTGATTCTTCAATGTAGTATTACTCCTTTTTTAATAGATTAAAATGAATACCAGTAATTTCACATACTTCAAACTAATATGAACAGAAGTGATATGTATCTCTGATGATTATCTAAATTTCACCTTGCTTAAGTAAAATAGTTCCCTCTTTCTTAGTTTCACTTTGTGTAGTTTCAGTTACCTACAGTCAACACGGTGTGAAAATATTAAATGAAATATTCCAGAAGTAAAGAAATCATAAGTTTTAAATTACATGTTGTTTTGGATATATAATGGAAATATAGTTTGACAAGAGGAAGAAGTTCTAGTGTTATAGCAAAGTAGGATAATTATAGTTAACAATAATTTACTATCTATATTGAAATAGCTAAAGGACAGTATTTTTCAATGCTCTAAACACAAAGTAATGGTAAATGTTTAAAATGATGAATATGCTTATGCCCTATTATGACTCTTACACATTATATTCATATACTAAAAAAATCACACTTTATTCCATAGATTTGTACAATTATTACTTTTTACTTATAAAAATATATTAAATGAAGTAATGCCTGATTAAATAAATCAATAAATTGCATTCTATTCCAAGTAGCCTACTGAAATTTCACCTGTTCTGTTCCTACCCTAGCAGGATGTGAATCATCATTTTGTCCAGGGCTTCTTCTACACTATGCGCTTGTTAGTCACTTCACAGCTGCCTTTTTTATCAGATATGCTTTTGTAGTATTATAGTCCTTATGTTCAAGTAAAATGTTATTTTACTTAGTTGTTTTATTTTCTTATTATTATCAATCTCTTATTGTGCCCAATTTACAAATTTAACTTTATCAAAAGTATGTATGCATAGAGAAAAACATAGTATATGCAGTTGGCCCTTCGCATCCCTATGTTCCACATTTGCAGATTCAACCAAAAGTAAATGGAACAATATTTGGGAGAGAAAAAGTAAAAAGTAACAAGATAGCAATAAATATTAATACAAATAGAAACCAATGTAATATATAATGATTTATATAGTATTTACATTATAAGAAATAATTTTATATACATAGAATATGTAGTTTATATGCCATTATTGTACCATTTTATATAAGAGATTTGAGTGTCTACAGATTTTGGAACAACTTCCTAGGGATACTGAGGGACAACTAGTGTTTAGTACTATCCAAGGTTTCAGACCTTAAGTGGGGATCTTGGAACATAGTCCCTATGAATAAGCGAGGACTATTACACTATTTAAAAATGTCTTGAAATTGGGACCAGCAGGTGGCATAATGGTCACTTTTCTGGACTCCCACATGGTCTACCACAGTTTGATTCCTCTTTGGAGAGGCAGAGAGAAACAGAAAGCAAGAAATCATGCCCAGGGGTGGTGGCTATGCCACAATCTCTTCCCTTCCATTCTCATTTTTCTCTTGGGAGTTTGGGCATATGCACCCATGTGCCTGGCATGAATTTCAAGTCACCAGGTACAGGACTTGAACCATGTTCGGCAGTGTGGGAGTCCAGCAACATAACCACTATACCATCTGCTAGTGCCCTGAAATTTGACTTTAAACATACATAGACTTTAGTGGACTAATCTGTCAACAGATTTTCACATACATTTGTAATTATCAAAATTAGAATAATTATAATCACCTAATACCAAAAACATGCTCATTCTAATTTATCTTTGGCTAAGAGATATACAATTTACAAATTATTGTGTAGTGAACCTGGTTTTTTTGTGCGGCTTGTGAAAATAGTCTCATTTTATAATTGTGCATGTGTATTTACATTTATTTTCAGCTATTCAGCTAAAAACAGTTACATATTTTCTGAAAGGGTAGACAGAAGAAAAAGGACATATTTAACACAAAATTGTCAAATATGTTGTCAAGAAATAACATCTTTTTTATTTTAAGGTATATTTGTTAAAAAATAAACTTATTGCACATAAGTTTCTATTACTTATCTATTTATTTGTTGTGATTTTCAAGCTGCCAAGTCCAGGGCTTTAATGTGGTCAGCCATGTGGGAATCTAGTGCCTTAACCACCATTCCACCTGTAGACCCTATATCAAGTCTTTAATAGCTGCACATACTATTTTATGTATACATTAATAGTAAGATGACTTGCTTTTTGGTGGCTGTTATGATTCCATGTTTGTAAACAATTTTTTTAAGTTTATTTATTACTTTTATGAGAGTGCGAGACAGAGACAGAACCCTTAAGAGTCTTGAGAGCCTTCTCCTTGACCCAGCTTTCCCAGCCATGGGTGTATATTCATGACTTAATACATTTTCTAAATCAAGGAACCAGTTATGTTTTAGACATATTTTATATTTTAGAAATATTACTGTTACTATCTTTTTTGGAAAGGTTTTTGAGGCCTAGCTGCAGCAATACGTGCCGGTTCATGCTGCCACTCAGCAGGCCAAGGCCACGTGGGAAGCCTGAGTTAATTCTTGGCTCACTTCAAAAACCAAACACCAGAGCCAGCAGGTGGTATGGTGGTTAATGTGCTGGACTTCCACATGGCTGACTGCGGTTCAAGTCCCGGACTAAATGGCTTGAAACTCACCCTGGTGTTTGTGTTTAAGTGCCCAAAATCCTGAGAGGAGAATGGAGAAGAGGGGATTGTGACACAGCTACCTCTCCGGGGGTGATTTCTCACTTTTCCACTCTCTGATTCTCTCCATCTCACTCACTCTTTCTCTTCGTAAACACATACATCAATGACAAAACCCAATAAAGTAAATAAATGAATGCATGCATGCATGCATGCCAGACGCCAGTAATTTTAGCTTCTGAGTAGGCTGAGGCAGGAAGATTGTGATATAGTAAGATCCTGTCATAAAGGAAAGTAGGAAGGAAAGAAGGAAGGGGAGAAGAAAGGAAGGAAAGAACTGTCTAATTTTATAGCAAGATCAAAAGAATTTGTATATAGGGGTAGGAAACGAAGAAATGTTTAATTTTATAGGAAGATCAGAAATAATTTGGGTATTTGCCTTGCTAGACTTTGCCAGCCTGAGAGCTGTGATTCTTCAATGTAGTATTACTCCTTTTTTAATAGATTAAAATGAATACCAGTAATTTCACATACTTCAAACTAATATGAACAGAAGTGATATGTATCTCTGATGATTATCTAAATTTCACCTTGCTTAAGTAAAATAGTTCCCTCTTTCTTAGTTTCACTTTGTGTAGTTTCAGTTACCTACAGTCAACACGGTGTGAAAATATTAAATGAAATATTCCAGAAGTAAAGAAATCATAAGTTTTAAATTACATGTTGTTTTGGATATATAATGGAAATATAGTTTGACAAGAGGAAGAAGTTCTAGTGTTATAGCAAAGTAGGATAATTATAGTTAACAATAATTTACTATCTATATTGAAATAGCTAAAGGACAGTATTTTTCAATGCTCTAAACACAAAGTAATGGTAAATGTTTAAAATGATGAATATGCTTATGCCCTATTATGACTCTTACACATTATATTCATATACTAAAAAAATCACACTTTATTCCATAGATTTGTACAATTATTACTTTTTACTTATAAAAATATATTAAATGAAGTAATGCCTGATTAAATAAATCAATAAATTGCATTCTATTCCAAGTAGCCTACTGAAATTTCACCTGTTCTGTTCCTACCCTAGCAGGATGTGAATCATCATTTTGTCCAGGGCTTCTTCTACACTATGCGCTTGTTAGTCACTTCACAGCTGCCTTTTTTATCAGATATGCTTTTGTAGTATTATAGTCCTTATGTTCAAGTAAAATGTTATTTTACTTAGTTGTTTTATTTTCTTATTATTATCAATCTCTTATTGTGCCCAATTTACAAATTTAACTTTATCAAAAGTATGTATGCATAGAGAAAAACATAGTATATGCAGTTGGCCCTTCGCATCCCTATGTTCCACATTTGCAGATTCAACCAAAAGTAAATGGAACAATATTTGGGAGAGAAAAAGTAAAAAGTAACAAGATAGCAATAAATATTAATACAAATAGAAACCAATGTAATATATAATGATTTATATAGTATTTACATTATAAGAAATAATTTTATATACATAGAATATGTAGTTTATATGCCATTATTGTACCATTTTATATAAGAGATTTGAGTGTCTACAGATTTTGGAACAACTTCCTAGGGATACTGAGGGACAACTAGTGTTTAGTACTATCCAAGGTTTCAGACCTTAAGTGGGGATCTTGGAACATAGTCCCTATGAATAAGCGAGGACTATTACACTATTTAAAAATGTCTTGAAATTGGGACCAGCAGGTGGCATAATGGTCACTTTTCTGGACTCCCACATGGTCTACCACAGTTTGATTCCTCTTTGGAGAGGCAGAGAGAAACAGAAAGCAAGAAATCATGCCCAGGGGTGATGGCTATGCCACAATCTCTTCCCTTCCATTCTCATTTTTCTCTTGGGAGTTTGGGCATATGCACCCATGTGCCTGGCATGAATTTCAAGTCACCAGGTACAGGACTTGAACCATGTTCGGCAGTGTGGGAGTCCAGCAACATAACCACTATACCATCTGCTAGTGCCCTGAAATTTGACTTTAAACATACATAGACTTTAGTGGACTAATCTGTCAACAGATTTTCACATACATTTGTAATTATCAAAATTAGAATAATTATAATCACCTAATACCAAAAACATGCTCATTCTAATTTATCTTTGGCTAAGAGATATACAATTTACAAATTATTGTGTAGTGAACCTGGTTTTTTTGTGCGGCTTGTGAAAATAGTCTCATTTTATAATTGTGCATGTGTATTTACATTTATTTTCAGCTATTCAGCTAAAAACAGTTACATATTTTCTGAAAGGGTAGACAGAAGAAAAAGGACATATTTAACACAAAATTGTCAAATATGTTGTCAAGAAATAACATCTTTTTTATTTTAAGGTATATTTGTTAAAAAATAAACTTATTGCACATAAGTTTCTATAGTTTGCATGATGAAGCAGAATTTATAATTTTTGTACTTTATTTCTGACATAGCAGGTGATTTATGAACTTTGATTAGCATACTTTAAAGCAGAATTCTGTTTGTAGTGATGTTAATGGTGGCTGTTTTGCTATCCATGTATGTGTGGAACAAATATTAAATTATTAAGGAAGTAGACATTTTTATTTATGAATAGCTTTGAATATTCTATGTGAAGTGATTTAGTTTTATTCTCTCCTTTTTTTGTAGCTCTCATTGTTACTTATGCAAGTGAAATATCTGATGGCAGAACTCAGTCAATGGCACAGAGAAATGCCTGAAAGTAAGCTCTTATTTTTAGATTCCTAGCTTTGTAAACAAATGACAAATTGATTTAATAATCACAAGAAAAATTACAAGATCCATTTGGCCTTCTTAAAACTGCCTAAATTCTTTTGGTATTAGAAACCCAATCCATTTTTTTATTTCTATACAGTTATTTTAGAGAAACATATCTATTGGACATTGGATGATAATTAAGATTATTGTAATAAAATTATTTATTTATGTCTTCATCTGCTTTCTGTTGCAATAATGGAATACCACAAAATGGGCAATTTATGATGAATAGTAATTTATTTGACTCATAACTCTGGAGGTTGAGAAGTCCAAGAGCATGGCATTGGCATCTGGTAGGGCCTTCATGCCACATCATCCAGTAGCAGAAGGCAGAAGAGCAAGTGAGTGTACAATATAGAGTGTTGAGGTGAGACCGTGTAGGCCAAATGATCTCTAGATGTCAAAGGAAATAACAGATTAGACTTGGCAGAGAAGTTCACCTTGTTGGTTTAGTGTTTATTCAGGGAACTCACAGACTTAAGCAAGGTCTTAGGCAACCACAAGATGAGTGGCTCTCTGTACCGTTTACTTCAAAGGCTTATGTGTATATAGGTAATACAGGAGAGGGGTTGTAATGGGAGTATGCATAGGAAGGAATTTTAAGTGATATATAGAGCAGTTTTGGGTACAGTGCCATATGTTTTTATTTTATTTTATTAAAAAAACTTTTTTGAGAGATTTTTAGTGCATGTGCACTCACTGGAGATACAGAGCGAGACAGAGACAGAAAGTAAGAAGTCACCCACCTGGTGGGATGCGCACAGTGCAGTCCCTTCTCCTCCATCCTCCTCTCGGGATTTTGGGCATGCATACACACATGCCCAACGTGAGTTTTAAGGCACCGGGTCTGGGACTCAAACTGCAGTCAGCTATGTCAGAGTCTGGCTGTGTAAACATTACGCTATCTGCTGGTCCCAAGTGCCATATCTTTCTAAAAATTTTTATCTATCTATCTATCTATCTATCTATCTATCTATCTAATTCCATTTGATGGAGGGAGTTTAGAAAGGAAAGTGAGAAAGCAAGCTGTCAAGTCTGGGACTCAAAGCACAGTCAGCCATGTGGGAATCCAGCTCCTTTAACCACCATGCCACCTGCCAACCCCTCAAGTGCCATATCTTAACTATGATTGGTAGCATGCTGCTCCATGGATAAAGATATTAGGTATGTATCTTATAATAGCTTAAGCTGCATTGAAGTCTTAGAAATGTAGCCAGGGCACTTGGGTCAAATGTCAATCAAGATGGCAGTTTAGCTTTTTTTTTTTTAAGAATTATTTTAATTAACTTTATGTATTTATTTTAATACGACCAGAGAGGGACAGAGTGAGAAAGGGGGAGGGAGAGGAAGGGAGAGAGAGAAAGTGAGAAAGCAAGCCACCAGGTTCAGGACTGGAACCACTGTCAGCCATGTCGGAGTCCAGTGCACTTAACCACCATACCACCTGATGGTCCCCTCAGATTAGCTTTAAGATGGAGTTACTTTTGGTCATGCCCCAGAGATGATGAGGAAATGAACTTATCCTTTTATCAGGAGCCCACTCCTTGATAAGCAACCCTATCCTAAGATAAAGGCATTAATCCATTCATGAGGATATAGCCCTTGAGACTTAACTATCTTGCTCTCCTTTTTTTAAGTTGCTAAAGCGTTTATGTATTTACCAGGGAAAGAGAAAAAAACAACCCCTCTACCAATGGGGCGTGGTCATGCTGCAATCTTTTCTCCTCTATTTCTTGATTCCATTAGGTTTTGGGCACACACATGTATACACTTGGACATGTTCCTTAAATTGCTGGGATTGGGATTAGAACTATGGTTTACAATATGGGGATCAGCACCCCATTCCCTGTGCTTAAACACTGCACTATAAGGTGACTTCTACCATGTCTTAAAGATCCCACCTCTCAATACTTTTACAATGGTAATTAAGTTTTAATATGAATTTGGGGGTACATTTGAGCTTTAGCAGTTTCTTAATGAGTAAAACTTACTTAGGAAAAGAGAAAAAATATTTTATTTGTAATACTAGCACTTTGAAATAGAGGTCTGATCAGAGTTTGTCAAATATGCAGAGTTTATTCAGATACAAGTTTGAGGATGGCTACCGGAGATACAAAGACTTCAGTAACCTAAATCCATTTCTCTGATATGACAGAGTTCAGGGTCATTTTTAAAGGAAAAAAGGATGGCACTGGGGAGAAGTGAGGGTTGTAAAGTTGTTTTGTCAAGTTTACATTAGTGCTATCATTTTAGAAATTTTAAATAACACTTGATTAGGAAAATTGAACTTTTCTAGTATAAAGCTGAATACAAAAAAATGTTGTTATATAAATATTAGATATTCATTTCTATTCACTAGACTGATTACAGTTTTAGAAAAATTTTTATATATTTTGCTGCTTTTTATTCATTGCTCATAAATGTTTTTAGAGAGGAATCATACTTTCTCTATTAAAATTCACATACATTTCATTTTGTGAAATTGTATTTCTGGGATTTCTTCTTTAGAACTGAAAGCACCAATGTATAATAAGATGCTTACTGTGTCTTCATTTCTCATAGCTAAAAACTAGACACAAAGTTAATGCTCAATCAATAGAATATATTCATACTTTGGAATAATATGCAGCCATTAAAATTATAAATTAGACCTATACCAGATTAATAGAAAGGCCTTCCATGAGAATTTTGCTTAGTGAAAGTAAGATGAGAATATAAGTATGTATGGTATTATTTCATTTTTATAAAATTAGCAATGATAAAATTAATACCTCCCTCATACACACACACCCAGGAGGAAGTGGCCAGGCTGCAGTCCCTTCTATTCTGTTCTCTTTTTGGGATTTTCGGCATTCACACATGTACCTAGTTTGATCTTCAAGCCACTGGGGACTTCAAACTGCATGGATTCCATGTGGAATCCAGTGCCTTAACCACCATGCCACCTGTTAGCCTAGTAATAACCCTTTTATGTATATGTATGTGTGTTTATGTGTTTATATATGTATATTTATGCTTAGAATCATATGACTACAGAGGAAAATCTTTAAGGAACACTTTATAGATCATTAAATTTGCTTTTAGGAGTCTGAAAAAGGCATGCAAACAAAATATATAAATATCTAGTTTACCTGGAATTATATATGGGTGGCTGTTAAATAAAAATATTTTTTTAAGAACTGTACACATTTTATAAAGTGTTATATAATATGCAAGTTCAGAGGGAAAGGATTATCTCAGGAGCCAGCTAGTGGCACAGTGGTAAAGCAACTAAACCCACATAGAAGTGTCTTGCATTTGGGACCTGCATCTGGGACCTCTGAGCATTTCAGGCCTCTATGCATGACCCTGATGTGGGCTGGCTGAGATTGTGGGTGGATCGTGGCATGAAGACTCTGTTAGAGGTGGCTGTTACTCTCTCTTTCTTTCTCATGGAAGAAAAAGATGGACTAAACAAAAGGTTATTTTGTAAAAGTACTACATCAGGTTTTTGATTTTTGAGTAAGCGTATAGCAGTTGCATGTGGTGATGATTGAAAACAAACTATAGATAATTCTCAAGGAACTTACCAAGAGGCATTTGATATAAGCAAGAAAGAGATGCAACCCACGCACCAAATCTGCCTGGGGCTGCCTCTTAACTTTTCTGTATTTCACTGTAAGATCCTTAATAACTCAGAGCTTGCCTGCACATTGGCTAAAACGGCATTCAATGAAGCCATTACAGAGCTTGATAAACTGAATGAAGTCTGTTCATACAAAGACAGCACTCTCATCATGCAGTTGCTTAGATACAACTTAACATTATGGACATCAGACAATGCAGTGTGATGCAGCAGAAGGGGCCAAAAACTATATGTATACAGGGTGTCATCCTCCTTCCTCTCGAGAAACATTTTTACATGTCTCCATTCCTATTCCACTCGGATTTCCTGTAGAAAAAAACCCCACTCATATGTATGGAGTCAGCTGTTTATAGTCTTTCACACTGCAGCTTTGGGAAACTCCATTTCTTGATTTGTGTTTGTCTTGGCCTTCCTGGTGTGCAGTTACTACTGTAGAAAAGTATTAATAGCTTCATTTCTTATAAGCATAAGCAACTTCCAAATACTTACGTAGAGAACTAAAACTTAATCAGTATTTAAATAATCTGAACCAGTTCTGCAAGTGACTGTGTTTTTGTATTACTATGAGGATATGAAAATATAGTTAAATAAAACTTGAAGAGTGTTCTATGTAACTTCTTAATTTCTACATTCCCTCCCTTACTCTTCTTTAGGGGTTTCCTTTGAGTAAGTAACTTTTACATGCTCTTAATATATTCCTTTTTAGTAAGAATCCAGAAATATTAGAGTGAATGGAAAGGTACTTGACATTTCTAGGCTGGGGGTCACATGTTGAAATGCCTACTATACCATACATTATGGAGGTTGGGTGTATTGTGACAACAGGGAGTCTCCTTATTCATTCTTCATTTGCTGCTGTGTAAGTTGACAATTCTCCTTCCCAATAAAAATTCACTTACACCTCCTGCCTTTGTAGGAGTAGAAGTAGCATGTTGCTGCCAAAATACAAAATACAAGCTTCGCTTTTGGCAAATTAAAGTGCATGTCATTTTGTACAACACTAGAAAGGGGAAACAAATTAAAGTACACAAGTCCAAGTCTAAAACTTCAGTACTTTTCCATGCAGATATGTGCACATGCGAGAGGGTATTGGTTTATCCAGTGATTGTAGAGAGTTGGACCACTATTGTATGTCACTAATCATTGAAATGTAGTCCCAAGAAAAGCCTTGTGAAAATGTCATGCCCTATGTAACAAGAGAGTAACATAAAATAAAATTAAATTTTATAAACCAAAAAAAAAAAAAAAAGATTTAACTAAGCATATGTATAATTTTGTTTTTTGTTTTTGTAGTAATTCCCCTGACTGAAGATGTTCTGGTCACATTAGGAAAAGAACGGGTAAGTTGCTTAAGGAATTTATGACTAGAATAATTTATAATCAGAATTGTTTTAGATAAATTCATGACTTAAGAAGTAGAATGAGGGAACAGCAGATGGTGTTATAGTTATGTCACTGGACTCCCACATAGTTGACCGTGGTTCGAGTCCTGAACCCGGTGGCTTAAAACTCATGCCAAGCACGTGTGCATGTGTGCCTAAGATCCTGAGAGGATATAGAAGAGAGGGGATTGTGTTGTAGCCATCCCCCAACGCGTAATTTCTTGCTTTTTCTGTCTCTCTATCTCTCTCTGTTGCTTTGGTGAGCACATGTGCCTTATAGTAAAAATCTCTAAAAAGCAAATAAATAAATAAATAAAGGAATTGAGGGGTCAGCAGGTGGCATGGTGGCTAAGGGTACTGAACTCCTACATGACCGACTGCAGTTCAAGTCTGGACCTGGTGGTGACTTGTTTTCTTACTTTCCCTCTCTTTCACTTTCTCTCTCTCTATTTCTCTGTCCCTCTCTGGTCAAATTTAAATAAATAAATAGGTAAATTGGGGACCAGCAGTTAGCGTAATGGCTATGTCACTGGACTGCCATGTAGTCGACCACAGTTTGAGTCCCGGACCCGGTAGCTTAAATTCACGCCAGGTGCATGTGCGTGCATGCCCAAGATCCCGAGCAGAGAATGGAGGAGAAGGGATTGCAGTGTGGCCATCCCCCCTGTTTGCAGTGTGACCATCGCTTTTTGTTTCTGTCTCTGTCTGGCGAGCGCACATGCCCTATAGCAATAAATAAATAAGGTTAAATAAAATAATCCTTTAAAAAAAGAAATAGAATGAAACCATTCTAAAACCATATTATGAACATTTTCCCAGGATGAAAGATAATTCTGTGTGTTGAAAAAGTCCACTAAATTTTCAACTCAATGAAAAGTGATACATAGCATAATGATCCAGCAGAATTTTCCCCTTTGTTATAGCCCTTAGGTTAGCAACTGTAGCTTAAATGAGGGCTAGAATGTGTGTAGTGCCAGCATCTGCCTCAATACATTTTATTATGACAAATAGTAAAGGGATTGTGTATTTATCTTATGTCTCGTCATTGTACATTTATTTTTGTATTCATTGAGCCACGTCTATGGGAGTTTGTTCTATGATTTCTAAATTTCATTGATAATTTCTACCCGCAATAACTAACCAGAGCATAGATGTGTTATATCATTGGAGGTAACCATTAGATATTAAAAGTTCATCATCTTTCTCCGTCATCCTTCTTTTCCCCAAACTACACTTTCAGCATATTTCAGCTAGCAGGGGTTATTATAGCAAATGCAAATCACACTTGTGATACCAATTGTATCAGGATGCTTTTTTGAAGACCACCTTCAGCCTCTGTGATTTCCTTGGGTAGGGTGTCTTTATCTATTCAGACTACATATTCTCAGAGCAAAAATGCATTAATCAGAAATTACATACTTAGCGTAAACTCTACTCAAACTGGTTTCATGTGGTCCAAGGTCCAAGGCATATGTTATTACTCAAGAGTTCATCTTTTAGGAGCTGACCAAGGACAGTTTATAATGTGCAAGATTTTCCCAACCTAAGCCTCTTGAGTTAACCGATTTCTACACTTAACATTGTCTTTTGGAGAACATAAGTTCCTAATTTGACTAACTCCACTTTATCAGATTTGCCTTTTTTTTTTTTTAAAGAATTATTTATTTATTTAGTTCCATTTGTTGTTGTTATTTTTAAATTTGACCAGACAGAAACAGACAGAGAGCAAGAGAAAGGGAAAGTGAGAAAGAAAGCCACCAGGTCGAGGACTCAAACTATGGTTGGCCATGAGGGAATCCAGTGCCTTTAATTACCATGCCACCTGCAGGCCGCAAGATTTGCTTTTAAGGTTTGTATTGTTAAATAAAAATAGGAGGCCATTGCTTGGACTAAGCTCCTGCACTAGACTCCAACACACCAGACTAAAAATCAAAATGGAGTTAGGGTAAAACTAAGTTGTTATCTAACCTGAGAAATTAATACCCTAGTTTCCCAAACATGTTAGTTTTGCTTGTCATGATAATAAAGTTCCTTCTGTTTTAATAAGTAACTAAATGTAATCTGATGTGAACTAATCAGTTATTTTCCTATCGTTCTTTTTCCTTGTCCCTGCATTACAAATAGAGTAACTTTGAAATGGTCAGTCTGCATTTTATTTCTTTGTTTCTTCATTCTTTAGCCCTTTTCTGTCTATAAAACTAACCACCTCTGCTCAGAACTGAACTCATTGGAACACTTCTTCTGTTTTATGGAATTTAGTGTTACCCAAATTTAGGATCGTGAATAAAGTCAATTGACATCTCGAAAATAAAATATTGTAATTTTGTCTTTAACAGTGCTCATTCAAAGAAATATTTCCAACTTGGGGCCACAAAAGTTTAGTGATCTTTTCTGATAGACGTTTTAAAGTTTTGTTACCAGTACGTGGTGTGGTGGTTAAGGTGCTGGACTCATACATGGTTGGCCAACTACTCTTCAAGTTCTGGATCTAGCAGGACTTGCTTTCTCACTTTCCCTCTTTTTCTCTCTCTGTTTCTCTCTGGTAAGCACTTGTGCTCTATAACAAATTTAAAAATAGTAATAATGGGGCCAGAAGGTGGAGTGGTGTTTGAGGCACTGGATTCTCATACGGCCAGGCCGACCATGATTCAGGTCCTGGACCTGTTGGCTTGCTTTCTCTTTCTCCCTCTCTTTCTCTGTGTCTCTCTGGTCAAATTGAAGAGTAATGATAATAAAAATTTTAAAATAATTCTTTTAAAATAATAATAGTAACAAAATTAAATAATCTTTTTTTTTTTTTTGAAGAGAATTTTTGCTGTAGGGCATGTGCGCTCCCCAGAGAGACAGAAAGCAAGAAATCATCCCCCGGGGAAGGGCCACACTGCAACCCCTTCTCCATTCTCCTCTTGGAATCTTGGGGACACATGCATACATTCCTGACATGAGTTTTAAGTCTCCAGGTCTGGGACTCGTACTGCAGTTGACCAGGTGGAAGTCTAGCAACATAAATTTTACACCATCTGTTGGTCCCAAATAGATAATTGTTTAAAAAAAAAAGATGTTTTGGGATCAGCAGTTGGTGTAATGGCTGTGTCATTGGATTCCCATGTAGTGGACTGTGGTTCAAGTCCAGACCCGGTGGCTTAAACTCATGCCGAGCGTGAGTGTGGGCGTACCCAAGATCCCAGGAGGAGAATGGAGGAGAAGGGATTATGGCATGGCCATCTCCTCTGGGGGGTAATTTCTCTCTTTCTGTCTCTGTCTGGCAAGCACATGCCCTATAGCAAAAACCTCTGCCAAAAATAAGTAAATAAATAAATAATTAATTAATTAATTAATAAAATAAAGAAGTTTTAAAGTTTTAGGTTTTATATTTCATTTTTATGTATGATATGATATATTTGTAGAGTTTTTTTTTGTATGCATGCTGTTTCAGTACTAGTTTCTTTTTGTTTTTAATTACAGCGGGCACATACAAGGGAGAGAGAGAACATTACCTAATAGGACATAGTTATACCATAATCCTTTTTCTTCCATGTTTTTCATCCCATCAGTATTTTTGGCATGCATAAACATTCCTGGCATGTTTTAAGCTTTGGGGCTGGGATTTGAACCACAGTCAGCTATGTAGGATTCAACTTCCTATGCACAACACCTAGGTGCTGGCTCTCAGCATCAGTTGTTGAAAAAACTATCTTTCCTCTTTTGAATGTCTTCAAATTTTTTTCAAATTTTATTTTATGGGGACAGCAGGTGGTGTGGTGGTTAAGGCGCTGGACTCCCACATGGCTGACCATGGTTTGAGTTCCTGACCTCGTGGCTTGGTTTTTCACTTTCTCTCTCTCTCCCTCTGGTCAAATTAAAAGATAAATAATAACAAATAAAATTAAATAAATCTTTTAAAATGTATTTTATGTATGTATGTTTTAAGTTTGCTATAGAGCACATGTGCTCACCAGAGAGAGAGAGAGGGAAATAAGAAAGCAGACCACCGGTCTAGGACTTGAACTGTGGTCAGCCAAATGGGAGTCCAATGCCTTAACCACTATGCCACCTGCTGTCCCTTGAATTTGATTTTTGAAACTTTGTTGAAAAGTAATGGGCGATATCTGTTTCTATATCTGTTCATTTCTGAACTCTTTTTGTTCTCTATTCTGTGCTGTGGATATTTCTTTTTTTTTTTTTTCTTTAGACCAATACCACATTTGTTTTGTTCACTGAAACTTTACCATTAAGGTCTAAATGTCAGGTAGTATGAGTTCTAGAACTATGTGTTTCTTAATTTTACCATTAAAGTCTTAATGTCAGATAGTATGAGCTCTGTAACTTTGTTTCTTATCTAAATTATTTTACATTTTTATATACATTCTAAATATATGGCAAGAGCATGTGTGTACATACCCAAAATTCTCACAGGAAAGAGGAATGGAGGAAAAAGGATTACAGCACAACCACACCCTATAGGGGTGTTCTTTTTTCTTTCCCATGCTCTGGACTGCTCACCAACCTTCTAGCACTTATAAAAAAAAGATAGCTATGTCATCTGAGATCAAAGACAATTTATTTCTTTTCATTTTGGATATTTTTTATATAATTTTCTTGGCTTATTTTAGTGTCCTAGAATTTCTACATCAGTAAAAAATGAGTAGAAATGGTAGAAATGGTAGTAAAGGACATTTTTGCCTTTTTCTAATCTTACTAGGGAATATTCACTTTTGCCAATATGTATGATGTTAACAGTAGAATTTTTCATAGATCTCCTTATTTATATTCAGGAAATTTCCTTCTTTTACAGTTTATGAAGAGTCTTACTTTAAAATCATGAATTAATATTGAGTTTTGTCATTCTTTCTGAATTCATTGAAAGGATTCATTTTTATTTTTTAGTCTGTTGATATGGTGAATTATATTGATTTTTAAATTGATTTCAACTGCTTAATTATGTCTTTCTGAGCCAA